AGACTAATGATTTCAGGACAGTGGTGGAGGGCCAGAGCCAGATCCCAGCTGCAACCTCTGCAACCCTGGTAGTTCTCATGAAAATGCCAAGTATCTGCACTGGTACTCGAAAAGTATCTGTGCATCCCTAGTTGCTACCTTACAACACACACAGCTACCATGGGGAACAAAAGTAGCCACCCTCCTGAAGGAAGGACAGTGTCAGCACCAATTCAGAGATGATTTGAGGATCTACAGCCGAGTGATACACAAATAAGATACATTTGTGTTAATAGTTCGGGTACTTGAATGCATTTTTAAGATTGAACTCCTGAGTTTAGTGTCACTTACGTGTCTGTGTTACCTGTTTGGAACCAGTCTGTGATTAAATAATAAACACCCAAATTTAAAGTGTGACTACACCCTCCAAAAGTAACACGGTAATCCAGCATAATGCCCCACACATCATTTTATTTGAATTTGCACAAAATGGTTTTCTGTTTCCTAATTATCGCTATCTCCATGCGCTCTACTCAGAAGCTGTGTTCCATGAGGCCTGTGCACTGCTCTCCGATTACTACAAATCCCAGGATTTTGCGGCTTGACATGTTTGATGTCTATTTACATGTTACCCCATCTTTCATATTTTACCAAAAAATTGGGTAATAATAAATGTTTCCTAACATAAAAAGGGAAACGTTTCTTTACATTTTCGGTACTTTTTTCGTTATATAGTAAAAATTTAAAACCGCAGTGGTGATTAAATACCACCAAAAGAAACTCTGTCTGTTCCCAAAAAAATGGTATAAAATTCATTTCAGTACAGCGTTGCATGACGGAATAAATGTCAGTCAAAGTACCGCAGCGCTGAACACTGAAAAATGGCCTGGCCAGGAAGGTGGTCTAAACACCTGGTCTTCAAGCAGTTAAAGTAGGCCCAGCCGCCCTAAACAACATATAGCAATCAATCGGCCGCCCGCCCGCGGATTCCAGGGAGAGATCATCATTCCAACCGGCCCCGCCTGGGTGTCAGGGAAGACACACAGGCTGTTGCGGAAGCTTGGCAGCTTCTGTGTTCGGCCTGCGCCCTTTCATCTCAGGGCGCATGCCGAGGCAAACCAAATGCCTTGGTTCCTTTAGCAGCGTAACACCATTCACACCAGAGCAGCAGCTGCTGGAACGCACAGAAATTGCTAACGTTCCCCCTTTGTTCTGGGACGGGAGGGTGCGGCACCACAGCCACGCCCCCCCCCATTTTTCAAACTATGATCCGGCCCCCAGCAATGTCTGAGGGACAGTGAACTGGCCCCATGTTTAAAAAGTTTGAGGACCCCTGATTTAGAGACAATTCTCCTTATGAAGGCATTTGGGAATGAAACATAAACTAAGATAATAAATCTGTCCCTATGTGTACTGGAAATCAGGGATACGACGGTGTAAAAAACGCTGATGTTGCAACCAAATTAATCCATTCCCCCATATGAATGGAAAGTTTTGAGTTGGAGACTTTTACATGCTGGTGCTGGATATGTCTGCATGTAGTACTGTAGTCCATGTTGGGAATGCGCTGAGGAGTAAGACTACATTCAAGCATGCTGTGGGACCATATGTAGCCCCCTCATAACGGAAGTTGGATCACAGCAATAGTGCTTGCAGCATTTTTGCAAATCGCACTGGACCGCAACGCAGGCTTAATGTGCCATGTGTTCTGGTGCGGGCGATCGCACTGCAGACGCATGGATGCGGTGCCATTGATTTCATTGCACCGCCACGACCCTCCAGCCCCTACACGCAGGAAGCCGGCCGGAATGCGATATGTGCGTTCCAGAGCCTGAACCACTCTGGAACGCACGGTTTGTGGTGTGAACCTGCCCTCAAGGGTGTATATCCACACCTGTATGGATGTGCAAGTTCAGGTTGGCGTGTAGCTCTGTCCTGTCCTAAAGATGTGCAGGCGGTTGCACGTGCCTACACACAGCATCTATCCCTCATGGATGCAGGCTTCTGCACAGACTTGCACGTCCATATGAATGAGGCCTACAAGTCCAGCATTCTCACACTTCAGAAAACACACGTGAATTTGGGGGGTCAAAGTGCAACTGCAGCCAAAACATTGCTTTTCAGATTTGGAGAGTGCAGAGGCGCTGGTACCCGTCAGCTTTTTTTTGCCATCTGTATCCCTGTTACAAATATTCACTTTGGTGACTGATATCACTGAGTTAGGGCCCATTCACACCACGTCCGGTCCAAATCCAGAACAGGTTTTTTTTTGTCTGGTCCAAAGAAAGCATACCCATTCATTCCTATAGTAAAAAGTAATGTTAGTTCACACCACTGCGCACGTTCCAGGATGTTTAACTCTTTCGCTGCCATGGTCTTTTTTTTCCATTTTGTGCACTTTATAATCCACATTTTTTGCCTGAAAATTACTCCAAACCCCCAAAATATTACATATTTTCTAAAAGCCAATACCCTGTAGAATAAAATGGCGGCAGTTGCAAATGTTTACGTTGCATGATATTAGCGTGAGTCTTTATCAAACATTTTGTGAAAAATGAACTGAAGTAAATGTATTGCCCCAAAACACAATAAAATACCCATTTTTTATGGTAAAATATAAAAGATGAGGTTTATGACGAGTAATCAAATACCCAACATGCCCAGGTTAAAAATTGCAGGCGTTCGTGAAACGGCGACAAAATTCAGTACCCCAAAAAGTCAATAGATGACGCTTTAGGGCCGGTGCACACGTAGGCGATTTATCGTGCGATATCGCACAAAACAGATTCTCATTGAAGTCAATGGAGGCTTCTCACACCTTTGCAGTTTGTCACGTGACTGAATTCGCCTGTGGCGCGCAAAGGTGCAGGAGCTATTTTCGGGCGGTTGGGTTCCCATAGACATCTCTATGCATTGAAAACACGTGACAACTGTGCGAAAACAGCTCAGCATCTGAATCGCCTAAAAATCGCCTAAAGGTGTTAACCCAGCCTGAAGATCCAAGTTCATCAGTTTAGAGATACGCGTAAATATTGGCCCTAGAATTATTGCTCTCACTCCGGCATGCACGGCGATACCCAACATCTGTAGCACACTCATCATTTTTGTACGTAGGCGCACCCGACACGTGTTTACGTGAATACGCGCGCAAATGGAGAACCTTAAACAATTTTTTATGTTCACATTTTTTCTTTAACCTCCCTGGCAGTCTGACTATTTCCTTTTTTTTTGTTATATTTGGATTTCGTTTATTTTTTTTTTAATTCCCGCCGGTTCCGCCCCCTTGCGACGTGGACGCTCGCAAGGGACGGAACCCGGAAGACAGATGCCGGCATCGGCCGGAGGACACATTGCGGCTCGAGGGGCAAGGTAAGTAACGCTAAACTGTAATCTCGACTGTGGCTTTTTTTTTGCTTACAAGCCCATGTGATAACATATTGGTGGTGACAGGTCCTCTTTAATGTGATGCTGGGGGTCCAAAGACCCCCAGTGTCACCTTTACACTCCAAATAAACTATTGAAGTGCAGATCGCACTACAATAGCTTATTGCTGGGCTACAGGAGCCCGGCAATGACAGCTATGGGACTGGAAGTGAAGCAATCCGCGTCTGTTTAACCTCTTGCCGTCCGCCCGTAGTAAAAAAACGGACGGACGGCACTGCAGCATCTGCGGGTTGCCGTCTCCAGACGGCAATTTTTTTCTGCTCGCGCGCGCCCCCTAGCGGGCACGCACGGGCAGAAAAGACCCGACGATTAAACACACCCGTTACCAGGTGTTTCACATATAGGCGATCAGCGGGTCCATAGCCCGCCGATCGCCTATATGTGCTCGTTCGCGTTTCGTTTGAGGTTTCGCGCGCGCACGCAATTTTAAGGCTTGACATGTTTAGTGTCTTTTTACCCGACGTGACCCCATCTTTTATATTTTACCAAAAAATTGGGTAATAATAAATGTTTTATCATTTAATATAGGGGAAACTGTTTTTTTTTTTTAAATTTCGGTAATTTTTCCTTAATATAGTAAAAAAATAAAACCCCCAGTGGTGAATAAATACCACCAAAAGAAAGCTCTATCTGTCCCCAAAAAAGGGTATAAAATTCATTTCAGTACAGCGCTGCATGACGGAATAAATGTCAGTTAAAGTAACGCAGCGCTGAATACTGAAAAATGGCCTGGATGGGAAGGGGGTTTAACACCGCGGATGTCAACTGGTTAAATGAGCCCGCTGCCAATGACATCCTATGTACATCTGTGGACACAAAGTGGTTAGAAAAGTACGCATGCACTATTTTCTCTGCTCTGGAATGCACTAAAACGCATGTAAACACACAAAAAAAGTCAATTGAGACTAAAAAAAAGCGGCCAAATGCATAAAAAATTAACGACAGTGTTTGCAGAAATGCATCCAGATCTGGAGATGGTGTTAAGAAGCCCTGAGCCCTTTTTCACACCTGAACGTTTTGTAGCGCATTCTACGCTCGACGAACGCTCTACAAAACGCTCAAAAATATAAATCCCATTGTATTCAATGGTCTCGTTCGCACCTTGGCGTATTTCCGCCCGTCCCTAACGTGCTACAAAACGGCCCACGCCTGAAAAGGTACAGGTACTACTTTGGGCCGTTTTGTTGCACGTTTCCATTGGGATACAGCCAAGTAGCCTTCGGAAACGCGCAACTTTTTTTACCGCGAATCACGGTAAAAAAAACACACGACGGTTGCGCGACAGACACGCATATGCAATACGCCTAGGTGTGAACGAGACCTTAAAGTGATAGAAAATCCCCCATTCTGAGTTGTCACCAGAACAGGAATAGAGAAAATATCTTCCAGTCAAGAAAGGATTCCTCTTATTTTGGAGACAACTTCCTGTTTTTGTCACGAGACAAATTTCCCCAACGGTACACATAAGGTTAAAAAAAAAAAACTGACAGGAGTGATAACCCGCCCCATCTCTATTCAAAATGGCTTTAGTTCCACTTTTATGTGGTTCGGGTGGATTGGAAGGCCAAGCCCAGCACGCTCTCCAGCCGTGCTGTCTGTGAAGACGAGTGTCAGCTGGTGGCCGGCACCGACAACCCCGCACGTCACCCTGAGCTCCGCGGCCATGATAAATGAGGCTCCGGCGGGCGCGCACTGAAGGGGCCTCTCCGTCACCAGGAGGCCGCCGCCGCATTTCCCAGCATGCTCCGGGTTGCGCATGCGCATAAGACAGCGGGCTCAGGAAGAGGAAAATAGGAAAACAGCCGAGAGAGAAAAATAAGAAGAGGAGCAGAAGGAGGAGGGGGCGGGGAGGCTTTCCTTATCACCTCCAGAGCCCCACTACAGGCCCAGGGCCTTCTCATTTCAGCCAGCAGCGCCTGTGTCACACGGGGGCCCCCGTTCTTCCCCCTCCATGCAGCAGTGACACGGGCCATGAACAGCGGACTGAGCCCGGCCCCCTTGGCGGTGGGGGTTCCCGGGGTGAAGCTGAAGTTTTGCCGCTACTACGCCAAGGATAAGACGTGCTTCTACGGGGACGAGTGCCAGTTCCTGCATGAGGAGCCTCTGGGCATCCATGGCAACAGTCTGATCGCCTACCCGCCTCAGCCTGTGCTCGCCCCGGGGCCCAAGAAGGTGGAGCTGGGGACCCTGGAGGGCCAGCGTCTAGCCACTGACTACGGTGAGGGCTGCTGCTTTGCCTAGAAGGTTGTCTGTCCCTGATTATGTAACAACTTGGGGGTCATGGGGGCAACCTGCACCTACCATTGGTTACAGTACCACAAGTCCCACCTGGCCCTACTGTGCAGAGTGCAAGGAACTGCAAGTGCCAGCCTGCCCGGCGCAGCGTGGGGTCCTGCAGGTCGCAGCTGGCCCTGCCGGACATGCTTGCTGTGATACCAATAGGAAATTTGAGTTTCCCAGTTGGAACTTCTAGGGGAATGTCCATCCAAGGTCTGGCTGTCAGCCACTCTAATTCTCCAACTTGTAGCTCCAAGTTTGGAATTTGGCATTCACCATCTGTACGATAGCAGGTGAACACCGCATCGGTAAACTCCGACAGGCCATGGTGGAGTTGGGATCTACATGTCCCGGCATTTATGATCAGATGCTTGAAGACTGCGGGTTGCAGCATAGCATGACCGATATTGGAGTTGAGCTACATGACCCTACTACACGACCCAACATCCTATCAGTCAGCCATAGAGTGGGGGACTTCAGGTTTGCATTCATTTGGTCTGTGTATGAAGTTTATCTGGGACCTGGTATTCCTGACAGGTGGGTAGGATTTGTTTAATTATAGTGAGAAGGAAAGAGATAACCAAACACCCCAGAGTAAAGGTGCCCATACACCTGCCGATTTATCGTACGATAATCGACAGGTGTATGGGCAGCGTGCGACCGCATCTACTGTACGGTCGCACGACTTTCGTCTTCCTAGCACGCTGGAAAACCTGCCGCAAATCGTACGTTTTTCGACGGGTTGGTAGCGTGCTCGGAAGACGAAAGTTGTGCGACCGTACAGGAGATGCGGTCCCGCTCCCGGGAAAGACAGGTGCTGCATGTGATTTGTACGCAGCAGCCTGTTCTTCCCTACGGGAGTATGCAGCCGTACGCTCACCCGAACTGCACATCTGTGTGTCTGTGTCTGAGATTCCACTAAAGGTGACTATACACTTTACAACCCTCGCAAGACTTTTGTCTTGCGAGGGTTGTAAAGTACTTAAAAAAAAATGTACGATCTGCCCATCTTGGACCGGCAGATCGTACTTGCGATGACTGCAATGAGGGGCGGGCTTGCAAAGAAGGCAAACGCGCAGTGTGTGCGTGCGCACACTGGCCCGTTCGTCAGTTGTCGAACAAGCAGGCCACTAACTCGCTGAGAATCGTACGATTCCCGGCGGGTTTTCTAGCCTGCTTGTTCGATGGAAGACGTGCGACCGTACAGTAGAAACGGTCGCACGCCTTCCATACACTGTACGATTCTCGTACGATCGCGGGTTTTCCCGCGATTCTCGTACGAGAATCGTACAGTGTATGGGCACCTTTACTCTGGCGTGGTTCCTGGATCTGTTTTGCCCTTTAGGTGTTCTCACACCTGCATTGCTCATATACAATAGGTAGAAATTCAGGGTGCATACCTAGTTAAACTTGTGGCTTTAGATGTGGAATATAACATGGGTGCAAAAATGGAAAAAAGGGCCTCAGTCATGAAGGGGTTAAACTACCTAGGATCCTTAGGTAGTTTAAAGTGTGTAATCTAAAGCCACAAGTTTAGTTTTATTGTGATTTAAAGTAAATAATCTTTCGGCCCACGTCGGGCTTGTTTTTGTTTTTTTTTCTAGCCTGTGACCTGTTGGGGATAGTTCTTGAGACAGCAGAAAGGAAACTTAGACTATACTAAGACAGGAAGTAGACTATACTAAGGGATGCACCGAAGCATATCTGCCGCCGAAACATATCGGGCGAAAATGGCACTTTTGGCATAATGCCGAAAGAGCCATGTTTCGGCCGATGCATCGGCTCATCCCTGGTTTCTTTTCTCCCCGCGGGGAGAAAAGAAAGTGACAGCCGGCCGAGCGCTGCAGGACGAGAGCGCTGTGAGCGGCCGGAGTCTCTCCTCCCACACCGCTCAGCCGCCTTTCACAGTTCGGCAGAGCGGTGTGGGAGCGGAGACAGCGCTGTTACAGGAGGCTGGGCTTTCCTCACTACACCGCTCCATCAGCCTCCTGTGACAGCATGTCAGAGAGAAAAGCAAGGTGTACACACTCAGCGATCAGTACATAATTGAGGATATGGCATGTTAACTATATCCTCAATTATGAATGAATGGGAAGTGATCTACATCACCCTCATTCATTCATAATTGTAGTTATAGTAAACAAACAATGTTCTCATGTAATCAATGAACAGGAACACTCATAGAGGATTCCTGTGCATTGATAACAGGGGACACAGAAAAAGAGATTGAGGACTCTGTGTCCTCAATCTCTTTTTCTATTTTAAAAGGGAAATATCAGGGGTCTGTTTAGACCCCTAATATTTCCCCGAAGCCCCTAAAAGTAAAGTAAAAAATAAAAAAATGAATTAATAAATACAAATATAAAAAATTTTAAAAGTTTATAAAAAATAAAATATAAAAAAAAATAAAAAACATTTTCGGTATCCGTTTTCGGCCGGACATTTTTTTAATTTCGGGTTTAAAATTTCCATTTCAGTGCACCATAGTATATGGTACATTTTGCTAAGTTCCTAGAAAGCACCTACAGAGGGACAGGTTTGGTTGTCCTTCCACTTATTCGTACAGCTATGTGTGTGTAATCTAATATCCAGATTTCCTGGATGTGGTGTGAATGGGCCCTAATAAATTCCTTATACAAACAAAAGCTTAAGCCATCTCAATAATCAATTCTCATAGTAAAACTGTATTATAGAAAAAAATGCAAAGCTATTTGAAGCCCTTAGTAATGTACTGTACTGATAAACCATAACCTATAGATGTACATTTATGTTTACAAGAAAATGTATGGAGATTTGTGCATGTAGCCTGCCTTTACTTTAAAGAACTCCAGGAAATGTAAACAATAATCCTTGCATATCTGTAAAAAAGAAGTCAAGGCAACTGGACTTGCTGTATTTTTCTTGAAGACGTTTCACTGGTCATCCAACCGGCTTTCTCAATTCAGAATGATTTGTAGAAGAAATTATCTGGGAATAAATATGGTGAATGTTGCTCAATCCACATAATCTGTTAGTCACAACCATATGTTGAATGCATTTGCATAATTGGAGCTAGGAGGTGTTATTAACCTGCCCAGAGAGAGGTGTTAAAACAGCATTGTATGTGGCAGACGATAGATGTCTCACACATCTCTTCAGTGTAATATTGTTTTATATATGACGATTGCCTTTCTCACAAGGTGCCTGTCTGACATTAACCTGGAAATCCATATTTATTTCAGATTAAGCACGTAATATGCAGGCAGCATTTTTTAAATTATTTTGTAAGTTATGTGTATGAGAACATGTAACCAGAATGTATAGGCTGTAAAACCTGTTCGTGAGCTGACCACACAATGCTTCTGCTGCACTGAAGGACAGTGTTGTCAGACCTGGCCAGTCTTCATGTATGAACTACAGAACAATTCTAGCCAGTATTGTGGGAGAGGGATGTGTTCTGTACTCGAAAGGGTCCTAGAGTGACATTGCTGCACCTCCATCAGTGCGACTACCCCGCTGATCTCGCGAGGGAGGTTCGGGGAGTTTTTAATTGCATTTCAGTGCTGAAATACAATTTAAAAATGCCCAAAACTGTGCCGATCAGCGCGGTTCCATTGAAACCTGTATGGAAACCGCACTGATCAGCGTGGCAAAAATAGTTCAGGGAGCCTTAGTTAAAGGGTTTCTAAACCCTCCGTGTTTTTTTTTCTTCATATATCTGCTGCTAGCAAGCGGCAGATATATTGAAAAAGTTGGGGGGGAAAAAAACCCGCTTTTAAAAGCGGTATGAACTTACCGCTGTCTTCGCCGCGCCTCCTGTCCGAAAATCCGAAACTGTTTGGGCGGCCGCAAAGCATCTTGGGGCGGGTGCATGTACAGTTTGGATTTTGGGCCGGGAGACGAGGAGAGACGCAAGGTAAGTCTATGGACGCGTGCACCCGCATGCAGACATCGTGGGACAGAAAGCACCAGCAAGCAGAGTGGGGGAGTTTTGATTTAATTTCACTATAACCTGTAGTGCCCTGGAAACCCTTTTGTCATGTAATATTTAAACACATTGTGTACATCTAGGAAAATCTAAAACTTTTTTCTTAACCCCAATTCCCAAAAAGTTGGGACGCTTTGTAAAATCTACATAAAACCAGAATGCAATGATTTGCAAATCTCATAAACCTGTATTTTATGCACAATAGAAAACATATTAAATGTTTCAACTGAGAAAATGGACCGTTTTTTATGGAAAGAAAGTAATTTTGTAATGGCTTCAATATGTCTCCATTTGCATTGCATTCAGTTTTTATGTCGATTTTTACACAGCGTCCCAACTTTTTGGGAATTGGAGTTGTAATACTGTCATCACACATGGCCTAATACAAAATCACACATGGACTAATACACACCTGCTCAAACATAAATGCATACACACAATAGGTTGGACTTGATGGACTTATGTCTTTATTCAACCTCAAATACTATGTAATACCGTATTTTGCGGTCCATAAGACGCACCGGACCATAGGACGCAGGGAGGTCCGGCGCGCCTTATGGAGCACTCGACAGACTGTAGCTTCTGTCACAGCTTCTATGACGGAAGCTGTGACAGAAGCTGCAGTTAGTGACCGCTGAGACAGGTGGCGCTGTGATTACAGTGCCACGGTCTCAGTGATCACACAGAGCAGACGAAGAAAGTCCGTTCTTCGTCTGCTCTATGGTGATCTCGATCGTCGCCACTGCTCGGTTTTAATACGAGTGATCTCATTAGATCACTCGTATTAAGCGAGCAGTGGCTCCTACTACTCGCCCGGTGCCCGAAACTGCATGTCTCGGGCGTCGGCATTCGCTCCATAAGACGCAGGCACATTTTCCCCCTCCTTTTGGGGGGAATAAAGTGCGTCTTATGGAGCGAAAAATACGGTATATACTTATTTTAGTTTCTTTGGCAGTGTTCTGAGGGATATTAGGAGTTTGTAATATTCGTACTGAGAGTATATGGAGGCTGTCGCTCCACCTATCCTGAAAATGATACTTGCCTGACTGTCTTGCTAGTTCAGTTACTTCAGTGCTTTCTTGGGCTCTGACCTGCAAGAAGTAGAACTATAAGCAGATAGGAGTCCATACAGTAGGCTTACGCGGTCACAATAAGGCGTTCAGCTGGCTCAGGAAAAGAAAGTGAAGTGAGAGGATGGGGTCTCTGCAGTTGTGGTGATATTCCCTTCATGTCTTCATTTTTGTAGAGTATGCGGGGACATTTAGTAAAAAATTGTTCTGTTTGAAACTGATAAGTGAGCCATCTGTAACAACCATCCACTAGCAGGATAACTGCACCCTCCTTTCCTTTTGGACAGTAGTTGTCACTTCAACTCTTGTATATTGTTTCAGATTGGTCACCTCGCTTGTGTCCAATTAGGTAGCCTATGGCTGTATATGGCTTTTTTTTTACTGTAGGTCATTTGTTCCAGTCTGGGGGGCTATGATTTATTTACAGTGAATTGTCTTGGTTACAAAATGCAGAAGTGCAATATATCTTATCAGTTATTTGTAGATCCAATCAGTGTTACTTCTCTATGTATTTTGTAATGTCCTTTTTTGGCTTTTGTTTCCTTTTCTTACTGGCAGAAAGGTGTTTTCATATTTTGAAGAAAAAAAAGGGTTTCTATATTTTACTGGAGTTCTTGCATTTTCATTGTAACAAATAGTCTTGCACTTTCTTGAAGGGATGGTATAGTCTTAAAAGAGAACTATGGGGGTAAGTGTTTTTCCCCATAGTTCTCTTTATGGTCACGGGAGGACATATACTAACTCCTCACGTGACCCAAAGCTCAAAGATATACTGGGACCGCCTCAGCCGGATGGTTCAAGACAATACGGTCTGGATCCACCCAGCTGCGTGAGTAACAGCGGGCTCTGACTATCTAGATGCAGAGCCAGCTGTGCCCACTCCCTCCCTTGTCCGTTCCTCCACTCAGCGCTGGAGGATCAGAGAGGGGAGGGGGGAATCCCTGCGGGGAGAAGTGACTGACAGTCACCGATCACTGCAGGGAGATGATCGGTTAGTGAGCAGATCGGCTGCATGTTTCTGCTCACTTCCCGATCGATAGATCCCGACCTGTGACAGTCTCATTGTCACAGGTGGGCTCTTAAATATGAGGATGAGTGGAAATCACTAATCTCATAGTTCTCCTTTTTTGGCCTCACTCACACGTACGCGCGTATTGTACCATATGCAAATAAATGGCTCCATACACATAGCTGCGTATGGAGCCGTAAACATGCGCAAAAACCCAATTGAACCGAGATGCGTCCGGGCAGCGTATTTCTGCTGTGTGTGTGTGTCCTTTAATAGAAATACCAAAATAATAGAGATAAAGTGGATGTGAACTCAAAGTGAAGCTTTGCTATGTTTTAAGGAACAATTAGAATGGTAATAGTCCCTGAAATATTTTTACTTTTTTTTTTTTTTTTCCCCCCCCTTCAATTTCCTCCTGAAAAATAGCATTGCACTAATGCACTTCTGGGTATGTGAGGGTGCCTACAGCGTCATAGCTGATTATCTGCAGCATTGCCTCTGACTGCTGGTATTGGGAGATTTGGTGTATGTTTTTGTGTTTTTTTTTTTTTTGGTTTTTTTTTTGGTTTCCCTCCCCCAACAATGACAATTACTGCTGGGTTGTTGTTTTTTTGTTTTTTTTTCCCTGTTGGTTCTTGGATTGAACAAACTATTGTATGGCCCCCAGATTGGATTCATGTGCTGTCCATAAATTACAGACATGGATTCTGCAGTTAGTGAACTACTTCCAAACACAATTATTTGTGAAATATTCCTTTTTAAGCATGCGAATATAACAAAAACTGCTAGGAAAAAGTCATTCAAAATTGCTGACAAAATAAGTATTAAAGGTGGAAATCAAAACTACTGAAAGAACATTAAATAACTTTTAGACAAGTGGCTAAATTCACAGAAGAAATGCAAATCCTGACCAATTCCTTTTTAGGCTGGGTTCCCACCCGTGCGTTTTTACAGCGATTTGTGGTCCACGAAACGCACGTCAAGCGCGCGTTTACCAGAGCTACCCGGCTGTATCCTAATGGATACGCGTGGAAATACGCCCCCAAGAAGCTCCTGTACTTGTTTGGGCGTAGGGCGTTTTTCAGCGAGTTTCGACACGCTGAAATACGCCCAAGTGGGAACCATGCCCATAGGAAATAATGGGATTTCACTTGCTGAGCGTTTTTTCAGTTCTGAAAAACACCCAGGTGTGAACCCAGCCTTAAATGATGCAGCTTGGTGCTGAACCCACCCTGCACTGTGGCAGCACTAGTGAACTCATTCTGCACCTGTTCAACACATTTTCCTTTCTATTGTCATAGACATCATTTCCTTTTTAATATGCTTTTAACATTTTTTTTCCCCCCCCCTTTTATATCAATGTGCTTTCCAGTTCCTGGAATGGATGGAGGTGCTTTACCAGATACCAGTCTGACAGATTCCTACTTCAGTACCAGTTTTATCGGAATGAATGGATTTGGAAGCCCTGCAGAAGCAAACTACCCACGCTTGCAGGTAGTAAACTGAAGATTATCAGACTTGAGGTGTGCATGTGTCACCCAGCTGTTACCTTGGGCAACTTTTAGTTTGAAACAAAATTTCTGACAAAGATAATCTAGCAACACCTTTTTTTTTTTTTGCAATGGGAAATGGTGCTTTTACTTTTCTGCATTGGTTTTTAAAAATTTTTTTTTTTCCCAGTGTTGCACTGTTAGGCCTCATTCACACGTATGCGCGCGTATTGTACCATATGCAACCTATGCAAATAAATGGCTCTATACACCGACGCGAATAGAGCCGTATATATGCGCAAAAACAGAATGGAACAGAGATGCGTCCGGGCAGCGTATTTACGCGCGTACATCACATTCTGGGATTGCATATAGGGCACGCATATACGCTCGTATAGACGCAATATACAATTTTGCTTGCGGTGTGTGAATGAGGCCTTAAGAGTATCCAACATTGAGTAAATAATGAGCAAGATGAGACAGAAGCTGCCTTAATTGTTTCCAACACTTTGTTTTTTTCTAGTCCTCATTCTTGTGTTTTTGACTAAATGAAACCACATATGCCCAGTGCCCACATACCCACGTGTATAATGCATGCATGCTGGTGTGTACTGTGTAGGGGGTCATTCAGTGTGGTGTGATCAGGGTACATAGAGAACTTGCTCTCGCTGTATCCTTGCATTGAGCCTGTGTTGATCTTTGCTGAGCAATGCTGATCAACGCACCTGGCGCAAACAAGCCCCTGAACTGATTTAAGATTAACATAATCAAACTAGGAACCCTTACTATCTGATATCAATCTTTATATATTCATATTCTAATATATGATTCCATGAAGTGAATGTGACAAGAAGGTTGGTGAACCTGAGTGCAGTTAGACAAGAAAATATAGACTGCTTTTACTGACCACCTTCTGAAGCTGACGGATCATGTTAGCATATGCCTATAGCCTTCATTTTAAAATGTAGGTTGCCGTTCTCACATAGAACAGGGCTGCTCACAGCACACCTCTGTATGGTTAGGATTGTATTTTCCTGCAGACGAGTATACTAGAGTGATTTTTTTGTTTTGTTATTTTACTTCAATTTTTTTAAAAATTATTTTGTCTCTTTTGTGTAGCGAATGACAAACAGCAGCAGTTCTCCAAGCCTTCTCAATGACAGTGCCAAGCCATACGCAGGCCATGGTAAGAAAAGTTTCATCTAGTATGGGGCAACATTGCTTTAAAATTGCAGAAGACCAATATTTTTGAAATGCCTTTATTGAAACTGATTTTGTCTTTTAGGCTGTACTTGTAAATAAAAAAAGTCGATATTTATTCAAAATCATTAACTGTATTTTTATAGGACTAGTATAAGCAACATATATCCTCTTTAGATTGATGCCATCATACTCTGTCCCCAATAGGAAGGCAAAGAAAGCAGGAAGGAGGGGGAACTACAGTGACCAGGATGAGGTCTGGCAGCTCTCCTCTGTAATGCTGTGCACAGTTTTTTAAGCTATGAAAAAGTAACTGCAGACTATGGCTTATGCCTGCTGTAATACAGAGGTAGCTGTTATCTGTGACTGGAACAGCCACCGTTTTGCTTTTTAAGTTTATCTTTAAGCATTTGTGCTTAATTGTGGCTCTCACGACTTTTTCTCCCTACTGTTAATTTTGATGGTAGTATGTACACATTCTTCGCTAAGACACAAAATGCGTTGCTCCTGTTAATTTCCTGCGGCCGCTCTGTTCATCCAGCACAAGTTAAAGGCGAATTATGGGGAGAATGAAATGCACTCATCCCAATAATTAGAGCCAATGCGTGACACTGCAGCTGTCACTCATCAGTTCCATAGATGGAGAACTGAGCAATCACATACTGCTGATCACTCAGTTCCCCATCATCTCCCTGCAGAGAGCAGTGAGTGTCGGTCATTCCTCCCCACACGGATTCCCCTCCGTTCCTCCAGCGCTGACTGGAGGAATGGACAGGTGAGGGGGTGGGCACTGCTTGTTCTGGCTCTAGAGATGCAGAGCCAGCTGTCAATCAGGCAGCGGGGTTGGATTCCGACAATATTGTCGGGATTAGAGCTGCAGCTAACGATTATTTTCAAAATCGATTAGTTAGCCGATTTATTAAGTTCCATTAATCGGATAAAATACATTTTTAAAAATGGCTCCAGTGATTGGACTAGTTTGTATTGAGATTGCAGTCCATCACAAGAGCAAGCTTGGAGCGGTGGAAGTAAAAAAGAAAAAGTGTGGTGTGCAATATAGTGAAAAGGTGTAAAATTATAGAGCAATGAATGCAGAATGGCACCGGCTATAGAGGACTGCAAATCCCAGCAATAGTACATCATACAGCGCAATGCAGAATACCACAAGCTATAGAGGACTACAACAAATCCCAGCAATAGTACATTATAGCTGGCTGTATTCTAGTCCTGATATACTATTGCTGGGTTTTCTAGTCCTCCTATAGCTAGTGGTATTCGGCATTGCACCACTGTATAATGTACTATTGCTGGGTTTTGTAGTCCTCTATACAGCGCAATGAAGAATACCACCAGCTATATAGAAATATAACAAATCCCAGCAATACATTATACATACAGTGTATAATGTATTGCTGGGATTTGTAGTCCTCTATAGCTGATGGTATAATATACAGCACAATGTACCATCAGCTAAAGAGGAATACAAATCCCAGCAATACATTATAGAGCACCATGTGGGGGAAAGTGCAGGCTTACCTGAGCAGTCTTCCAGCAACTTGCTTCTGAGATTGGGCCTGTCTATTGGCGGCTGTCATCCCCCACGCCTGCTCCTCCTTAATTCTCCGTGCGGCATGTGGATCGTGGATGCGGGAGGTTATGGCAGCGAGCGTGAGGTGGGGAGGAGGTGCGGAGCTGTGAACAGGGCCAACTAATTGGAAGCCGATTAATTTGATTGAAAAAGTTGACAACTTTTTCAATCTTTTATGTTGATTAGTTGTTGCAGCCCTAGTCGGGATCATTCAACACAGCTCTGCACTGTCTGCATATAGCAGACTTTAGCCCACTATATGCTGAGTTTTGGGACACAGGAGAACATTGTTAAAATGGTTGGGCCATGGTCCTCTTTTAATTAGGTCTGTGTTGTTTGCAAAAGAGGTTTCAAGCATTGGTATTTAGGGAGGTGATGGGCTTTCCAAAGAATTTGAGAAATCGTTTTAAACATTTCACTTCATGAATTGTCTTAGTGTGGTTTTTTGTTTTTTACGTTTATTTGTTAGTCATAGTTTCGATTACATTTCCTTGCATGTGTTACTATGTTATTGCTGGATGTCGTAAAGTCTCATTCCAGTTAAAGCATTTGTAGTTTTGGATAAAGTCCAGAATATCTATAATTTCACCCATTCCGGAGATTTTCCACCAATGCCGAAATTGAGGAAAAAATATCCCTATGGTAAACCCAGACAGGGATTAAAAACCCAGCAGAGTCTAACTCTTTCCCATTCCATCCAAGACTCAAAGAAAAAAAAGTCCACTTTCAGCTAGTCGTCTTTACTCCCCACATGATTAGGAAGCGCTTTACTTCAGCAGGTGCTAGAAGAACTTTCTCCTCTTTATCTGGACACTGCTTTCTTAGCTTGTGGACCTTTTATGGATTGTTTGTTTGGGTTTTAAGTAGCCTCCTTTATTGCCAAAATGTATGTAATCATGCAACATACTGACCAGGTATATGGTCTCCTGACAATGACAATCACAACTGCATGTTTAAAATCGGAGAGAATTCTGTTGTGTATTAACCATATCATTTTTTTTGTTCATTTTAGATCCTTTAGGCTCTCCAGCTTCCACACTGTTTAATGACTTTGCTGGCTTAAGCATTTCTCAAAGACGAAAGGTAGGTTATATTTTTGTTTTTTTGCACTGACTGCTGTTTTTAATTTTAGACTTTTTCCTGCTAGCTTTTTTGTTGCATCTACTTGGTTCAAGAACATTCTAGAATCTTGCTACCAACCTTCACTAGTGGTTTCTGGATTAGGGTACACCTCTTGGGTAGAGTGGGCTTTCCAATAGATGACCGTAGCAAGAAGATGTTAGTATTTTGCCACCTGCTGTAGTTCTGAGTTTTCAGTCCATCCAATGGGGTGGTTTAGGCAATTCAGCCTGATGATACTCGGCCATGTATGGGATATCAATTCCTATGGCCAGTCAACATCTGTCAGGTTGTATGAGGACATGGCACACAATTTCCAAGTCGTGATCAAGCCACGCCACTCCAGATGTGGTTCCCCGCCCCTGTATTTTAAATGCCAAATACCAGAACCTGCACTGCTTGCTGAGGCTTTGGCATTTGGGAGTTGAATTTAATGTGGGACTTACTGGGGATTCTATCAGTTTAGAGAATTCAAGGCACTGCTTGGGATCCAAGGAGCTGGAAAGGTACCATACACATAAGCCCTGCTTTTGTAGGCCAGGGGTGTGGAATCACTATCCCCCAACACCCGGAACATGCAGTTTCAGGCGCTGGGCGAGTAGTTTTTTTGTACATTTAGCCCTGCTTTGGGCAAGCAGAGCTAAATGTACAGTGGAGAATCGCTGCACGCTTTATACAAGCAATCTGATCAGATCACTTATATCAAACCAGCAGCGGTGTTGTCTTGCCATATTGTGGTAGCCAGGCAGCAAGCAGAACACACACACGCACACTGTGCATTAAAGGGTAAGTTCACTTTCCCAGGCAATATGTGAAAATGGAATTACTCGCTCAAATCTGGCCTTTGCTGGTCAGATTTCCTCTGACCGGCAGTGCTGTAGGGGAACATGGAGCCAGCTTCCCATGTAATCGGGAAGCTGGACGGCAAGTAATGACCCTCCTCCCGGTTTCCTGATTGGCTGGGAAGCTGGCTTCCCGGCCAATCGGCATGCAGCTGGCTTCCTGGCCAATCGGGTCATTACTCGTGACCTGGCTTCCTGATTGGCTGGGAAGCCGGCTCGATGCTGACTGGCTGGGAAGCCGGGTGGCATGTTACGCGCTTGCCCAGCTTCTTGATTGCCCAGGAAGCCAGCTCCATGCCAGCGGAAGCACCGTATCAGTACTCGTATCGGTGAGTACCGAAAGCAAAATATCGGTACTCTCTACCGAAAAAACGGTATTGGTGCATCCCTAGTTTTTTATTATTTTTTTTGTATTGGGACAAGTAGTTTGTCATGAGGGACAAGTAGATTCGGCCCCCGCTTTAGCCCTTGGACAAGTAGTTTTGTTTTCTTTTTTATATTTCCACACCCCTGTAGGCACTCTACACCTGGTCAGCATCATTTTAGGTTTAACAATAAGGGGGGTCATTAATGGCCTGATAATAATCCTAAGCAGTGTTCCACATTTTAAGTATCTTGTTACTGTATGTCTTACATTTCACGGGATGATAACTAGTGCTTCCACTGTTTATTTAGTGCACACGGGGATTTTTCACTTGTAAAATCTCTGTACATTCTGGACCTAATCCTTAAGTCTTGTGTGGAGAACAGGAACAGACCATAATACAGCGTTTGTTCCTCTATTGACATCTAAAAAAGTTTTTAACTTGCCGTATGTTTAACATTTTACTTTTAGAGGAAACCTTTTAGGGTTGCACCTAAACCTTAAGCATTGTGCTGTGTGTGAATGCATGTGCTTTAACATGCACTGTTAAGGTGTTCCTTATGAATGGGTTGCTAGTACAAAAAAAGTACATGACCCTTTTTTGTATCAACTTTATTCTGCACTCTACTGTACAATGCATTTGGTTGCCATTTACAATGAATCGCACTGCACCTCACCGCACATAGCTGTGGAAATATATGTTGCCGGATCGCATAATTGCAAGTGGGCACTTAATGACAGTGCATAGATTGCCATTGCTGACCTCGCTTTTCCATTTGTGCCCCCATCCGCTTTTCCCCAGTCAGCCTATAGGCTGAAATGCATATTCAGAAAAATACACTAGGCTGGAACACACCTTTTTTTTTTTTTTTTTTTTTTTTTTTTTTTTTTTTTATTTTTTGATCTGAGTAAACCTTTAAAGATAATTTGATTGCAGAATAGAAAACTTTCATAAATTTGAATTAAAGTCTGATTCAATGAATGTAGTCCACATTGAAGGAGACATGACAAATTAATCCTGCTGCTTTAGGTAGTCTGCAAGACCTGAGAACTTCTCATGTGAACCAGACTGGCTGCCTTGTCCTGACACTTACATCATGGGTAATGCTTTGCTCAACTGTAAGCTTTGCACTGCATTGGGCAATGTTCTCCCGGTTCAATTGATACAGACCAGAACTTTTTATACCAACCTGAATGTATTTTTCCCACTATATCTACTGATTACTATTGATTTGATATATGCCTCTAATAAAGGGTCTATGACCACAGCATGGTCATAGAGCAGTGGTTCTCAACTCGTGGGTCGCGACACCTTCTGCAGTGGGTCGCGGTGTAATTTCTTCATGGAGCGGCCCATCTGCAGTAGAGTGGGGCTTAGTAGAGAACCTGCAGAGGTGCCCCTGCTAATGCCCATCCCCCTTCCCCACACAGACACCCTCACCAACCCCTCCAGCTTCTGCACTGACAGGGGACATTAGGACAGGGTACATTGATGGACATTATGTATTCCAAGCCCACATAATGTCCATTAGTATACCTTGTCATATTGTCACTGATGGACATTATGTACACCACCAACCGCCATAGTTTTCGTGGTTCCATTCTCCTTTGGGGGACTCGGGACCATTGCAGTTCATTCAGATTAGAGAGCGGGATCAGGCCGGTTCTGATCTGCTGTACTGACAGTGTTTCCTGTCTCAGCAGTAACAAGCTAGGCTGCACGGGAGATGGAGCACAATGCTGTGCTTGATCACCTGTGTTGGAGTGCAGGGGAGACATTAGGGGTCATTAGACCCCAGATGTAAAGAGAACCTGTCACCTCAATACAATATCACATTGGAGCTTGTTAGTTCCTATTTAATAGTAATAAAGTTAAGGGGAAAAAAATTAAAGTCATAAAAAATAATATAAATATTTAAAAATTTAAAACCAACCCCACCATTTGCATGAGAATAAACATGCGTGTGTGGGGCATTCATGTGTATGCACCAAACATGTTAGGTATCACCGCGAACGTTGGAGTGAGAGCAATAATTCTCGGGCCATAATTCATGGTTAACGCTAAACTGATGACCTGTACAGGCTTTTAAAACGTCACCTATGGACAATGTTGTGAAGCATAGTTTTTCGCCATTGCTGAGGTGCATGCAATTTTAACACTTGACATGTTTGGTATCTATTTACTCAATGTAACTGCATTTTGTATATGTAACCAAAAATTTGACCATGTGTCACATTGTTATGCCTGATAAAGGGACTGCATCTGGCTCCTGTCAGTCATTACGGTGCCACCCCCTCTCATGTTATCTGTGAGGGCCACACATCCCTTGTGACGCCCCTGCCTGCAATACTGCCCCTACCCCCTACTAAAGCTCCAAGCCCCCACATACCCCCCACAATACAATTCCATACCCCCAATGTTTAAAATGTGCATATATATACGTTGCTGAATCGTGCACAAGTTGTTTTGTGTAATAAATGAAAATGTCTCAGAAATTAATCAATTTTGGATCACGACTTAATGACAAAGGAAAAATGTGGGTCCCGAGGTTACACAGGTTGAGAACCACTGTCATAGAGGATATAGTGTATCAGGGTCACTTTAAGGTCATAGTATTTTATATATAAAGACCTGTCAATTTGGAGGTGGGTGGGTAAGAGGGATCACTACATCTTTTATTAAAGAGTCACTATTGAGAAAAAAAAAAAAGATGTTGGCTGCTACTGCTGGCCTTCGCTTCCGAAAATGCTAATTGACTTTACTAGCTTTCTAATCTGAATGCTTGTTCTGAATTAAATGATTTAGAAAATATTAAAGACCGAGGTAGCCAGGCATTAGGCCAGCAGTGGCAGCCATCATATTTCTCCTAGTACAGGCTTCCTCTATGACTAAGAACAATAGCCCCTTGTAACCCTGCCCGTACTATTTCATGTAAAAGGCGCAGTATGGAAATCTTGTTGGGTGGTTCTGCTTTATTAATTCCTCATTTAGCTGCATTATAGAATAGGTCAACCTGTCATCAATGTGCAAAAGTAACACTACCCCCAACAAGCATGCATGTAATATATGTGGTATTTTTTTTTCTTTTGTTTATTGATTTGATGTACATTTGCATGCATACCCATCTGTTTGTCCCAACCCCATTCACTTTTGGTGGACAAACATGATGACTTTCTATTCACATTCTTCTAAAAAAAAATAGCAAGTGTTCAAACTGTACTTCCATGCAAACACAATTGAGCTGATTTTATATCGGCTGAGTGGATGCCTGGATCCAGTTGATGTTCAGCTCTTGTCTATAGTTAGGAAAATATGTAGCTGCAGAATGTGGAACATTTTAAAGTTGATGTCTATGTGTGTGTTTGGAAATTCTGGCATTTAATCTCTACACTTCTAATGTTTCAGCTTCCACATCTTTTGCAGACTCCCAATCCTACTGCCAGTGAGTTTATCCCCAAAGGAGGATCCACTTCCCGTTTAAGTAACATGTCCCAGTCCAACATGTCTGCCTTCTCCCAAGCGCTGTTCTCTCACCCCTCTATGGGAGGTCCTAATTCAGCTGCTCTTGCTCCAGGTAAAACAAAAATAGTTTGAAGGATCTGGCTGACTGTAGTTTTAACAATTTGTGTAAATGTATACCATTGTTCAAAAATTTGGAATTACTATGAATGTTGTGATCTGGAGTTGTGGGTTTTTTTTTATTTCTATAATTCTGGCTTTATAATCTTTGTAATCTACGTTCCACTTTAAAATGACAGGTGAGGCATAGTGTTGCTGCACTAAGCTGCCTGTTTGCGACTCCGATGACAGATCAAAACTGTCCCTTGCTGCTCCATCCGCTGGCACTGCCATCTTCTCTGGATCCCCCATTGCTGGTTTGCTCACAGATGCTGATGTAGCTCCTTCTTGCCGCTCCATCCACTGGCACTGCCATCTTCTCTGCCACACCTTCTGGATCCCCCATTGCTGGTTTGCTCACAGATGCTAATGTAGCTCCTGCACATGTACTTCTGATGTAACTCTTGCACATAAACATTTATATGTATATTCAGTTATATTTATAAACCGAATATAATACCCAATTTTTTGGTAAAATATAAAAGATGGGGTTGTGTCAGACAAATGGATACCAAACATGTCAAGCCTTAAAATTGCATGTGCCTGTGAAATGGCAAAAGACTACAGGACCCAAGATTGTCCATAGGCGGCGCTTTAAAAGCCTTTACCGCTCATTTAGAGTATCTGTGAGTGAGTGGCCCTAGAATTATTGCTGTTTCAGTTGGCGACGATTTGTATGTTACGACGTGTGGCACAATTGTAGTTTTCGCACATAGTTGTACCTGGTGCATAGGGGGCAGGGGACTTTAAAAGAAAAAAAGGGTTTGCGTTTTTTTTGTTTTTTAAATGAAGTCTTCTGAGTTTGACTGCACGGATACCACATAAGTGCAATGCAACACAGCAAATGGTAGAGTATACAGCTCTCCTTTTAGTTTAGAAGTGTGTGGGGGGAGGGGCTTGTTTAAAATCACTTAAGGCCTGAAAATTAACCCCCACAACATTAGTAATAATGTCTAATAGTGATTGCAATTTCTTGGGTCACATGAGCGCAAGTACACTTTAAAGCAGTGGTTCTCAACAGCAGCAGAGGGCGAGTGCAATAGCTAGTTTGCTATTGCAAACTGAAATAGCCAATAGGAATCCAGCTATGCATTCCTAGGGTGTTTTTTTTGTTTTCCCACTTACGGCGGCCTGCGGCTCCTAATGTCAGACAAAAAAAAGGTTTACTCTGCTCGGGAGAAAGTGTTTCTCTCCCAGGCGGCCGGGAGCCGCTATCTAATAGCAGGAGACTCCACGGCGACCCCTGGCAAATCGTTATTCGACCCCTGAAGGGGTCCCGACCCACAGGTTGAGAACCGCTGCTTTAAAGTGTTAGGACCGTTTTTGGGTTTCTATGGTTTGTGTTCCTATTGGAGATTTTACTATATCTGTTTACCCTGGAAACCAATCATTGGGACTGGAAGTAATGGAAAATTCAAATTGTTGTGTTTAGCATGGGAGTAGAGGGGAAATCTTCAATGGGGACAAAGACCCAGATTACAGTTGCTTCAGTTTAAATGCATTTTTATTCAGAAAAATACAGAACTTTTGAAGAAAACGGAAGACCACTGTCTTAACAGGGAAGGAACATAACTATTCTCATGAATAAAAATCATGACAATACTTCTGTGTCATCCAGATATATAAACTCACGAGGTAGAATGCAAGCTGGAACAGCCAAAAAACAGGGTGTCAACCCAATATCCTGTAACTCTGCCATAGGTGCAAGAAAAGGAAGAAGAGGAATGAGATTCAGAAAAGTGGGAAAGTAGGCAGGTAAGGAAAGAGAGAGACAAAAAAAAGGGGAGAGGGGGCATATCGTGAGTCATGGACATGCTGCATCCACAAATTTCACATCACCTTTTTTTTTAATCAGAATGCTAGTCTTCTATAAAGATACATTTTAGTGGTTCTGGACTTCTGACAACTGTTCAAACAGTTTTTCTTTCAGGCTCTAGCAATCATTTCTTTAGCTTTTAATCAAAGAAAAGTGAAGCGAGCTAGATTTAAAGTGCAAGAGTGCGAACCAAGTGTCTCTTGGGAGAGTAACGTGAAGGAGAGCCTATAGAAGCTTAAAAACTTTGCACCAAAATCTGCTGCGGTGTCCACCATATATGTAATTTATCCCCGTTGGCATTCCGGCTTCAAAAATACATTGGAGAGTGAGGGATGGAAATACGTCACTCTTGTAGGCACCATGTACCAATGAGTAAGGACCTTAACCCTTTCGCTGCCAAGTATGTACGGCATACGGAGCTACAAAAGTGCTTCTGGCTGGTTTTCGCATGTAGGCGCACCTGACTGGTGTTTGCCCGTGTGGGTGTTTTTTGTTTTGTTTATTTATATACACTTTATTGCTATCATATAGGGGGCTAACAAGCCCCTTATGTAATGGCAAAGCCAATATGACGGGTCCTGATTATGGAAACATCAGGGGGTCTATTGACCCCTAATGTTACCTAGGGACCCCAAAGAAGTTGATGAAGCAGAGATCTGCTTCAGCAGCTCCTTCTCTGGCTACAACAGCCAGAGAAATGACACACTGAAACCAGAAGTGATGTAATTCCCTTCACTTCTGGGTACAGTGATCGAAGGGCAGATCATCTGCTGGAAGTGTGCTGATCTCGCTGATCAATCTACCGAGAGCCGCTGTCCCGGGCCTGTACAGGAGAAAAGCGGAGCCCGGAATAGCCAGCGGCGAAGAATGCATTCAAGTACCTGCACTAGTAATAAAAATGTATCTTATTTGTGTATCACTCGGCTGTAGATCATCTCTGAATTGGTGCTGACACTGTCCTGCCTTCTGGAGGGGGGCTACTTGTGTTCCCCCATGGTCCCTGTGTGTGTTGTAAAGTAGTCACTTCTCCAAGCTCACTCCTGTGATGGACTACAATCTCGCGTTTAGTTTACTAATGTGTATTGAAGTTATATTCCATCTCAGGAGTGAGCTTCGTGTGGTGGTTACTTTAACGCCTATTAAATATTTAATGCCTGACTTTAGTGTAAATTTATGGCCTTTGAACTTGTGTAGATGGTGTCAGTTTGAGACATTTCTGAGATCATTCCAATTTGGCAGGTGCATTTGCCCTGCATTTTACCTTTTGGCCTGCTTCAAGCCGAATGTGCACTCCCATAGACTTGTATGGTAAGGCAAAGCCTTTATAAAGTGTGGGGGGGGGAGGGGGGGAGTGCCTCTGGGCAGGAGCTCTTGCAATATATGTAAACAAATATTCATGTCCAGTCAATTGTGATCTCTTTTAGAGGGTAATTTTCCCCCAAAAGTGATGTTTTAGATGGTCTTAGTCTGTTGTAGAGCTGCAGCTAATGATGATTTTCAAAATCGATTAGTTAGCTGATTATTAAGTTTGATTTAATCGGATAAAACCTAAAATACATTTTTTTTTTAAAAAGGCTCCAGTGATGGACTTCTAGTTTGTATTGAGATTGCAGTCCATCACAGGAGCAAGCTTGGAGCGATGGAAGTAAATGGAAAAAAAAAGTGTGGTGTGCAATATAGTAAAATGAAAAGTGTAACATTATACAGCAATGATGAAGAATGGCACCGGCTATAGAGGACTACAAAACCCAGCAATAGTACATTACACAGCGCAATGCAGAATACCGCCATGAGCGCCATGTGTGGGAAAGTGCAGGCTTACCTGAGCATTCTTCCAGCAACTTGTTTCTGAGATCGGGCCTGTCTATCGGCGGCTGTCATCCGCCCACACCTGCTCCTCACTTCTCCCCTCGTCCCTGTGCCGATCGTGGATTTGGGTGAGCGGTGAGCGTGAGGCAGGGAGGAGGTGCGGCATGTGGATACGGCCGGGCGGGTCTGGCAGCAGCGAGCATGAGGTGGGGAGGAGGATTTGGCGCGCAGCGTGTGTGGAGCCGTGAACAGGGCCAACCGATCTGAAGCCGATTAATCTATTGAAAAAGTTGACAACTTTTTCAATCTATTATAATCGATTAGTTGTTGCAGCACTAGTCTGTTGTCTTGGTCAACCATGGCTTCTGATATTCGGATATATTTCTTGCAGCTTTTTCTGCATTCTTCATAATTAAAATCCAGCAGGCAGTGTTGGAGACCTTGTAGTGGCTACAGTAGGCATTTAGAGCCAGATAATGTACTAATAGACGACGAGTGATATGAGACACCGCCAAGTGCTTTCACTCTTTAGCCACTATCAAAATCTGAAATGTCTGGTTTAGGTGGACAGATGGTTTGAGATTGCCCCCCAAAAAGTCTAATGTAGTACTTCTGTGAAAAACTGCAGTAACATATTGTATACAGTGTTCTCACTTCAGATGCGCTTTCCATATCTCAAAATAACTTTGTATTGTTTTAGAACATCTTGTTTTCATGTCGTGTTTGTTTTACGTTAACTAAAGCCTCACTTCTCCTTTTTTGGGGGGGGGTTTGTCGTGACATTAGGTAAATGAAAGTGGTTTAAGAAGTGAAAGCTACAGTATGCTGTGTTTCGGTGATGTTCGTTAGCCTGACGTCTGTGAAGCTTAAGGGGCTTTTTATTAGCCTCGGGTTCATATTTTAGGGTTTTATTCTAATGTCAAAATCATACTTGGTCATTTCATGCCATTTTGTGCACACTTGTGTTCAATGAGTTTGAACATTCATTTCTCTACTCGTGAGCAGGGCTATCGTTAGAAGTCATGGGGCACCGTACAGCCTGCATGCACTACTTTTTTTCCAGCATTGCAGCCAGGAGATGCCTTTTGTGGTGCCATTCAAATGAATGGCAATGCACTTGACGCACTGTAAGGCATGTTAGTTGTGTTGGGCAGTAGCTTGTGTTAATGGCACAGAAGCATGTGATTAACGCACCACATTGGTGTGAACGGGCCTTCAGAGTCTTCGCAGTGTCTGCAATCTGCGCACCCCAAGGTAGGAGCTCTCATTTATGCAGCTTTCCTACTGGTTATCCCGATAAGACCGCTTACCATTCCTCCCTGTTATCACCAATAACTCCACCCACATCTCTGCCCTATTCTTCTGCACTGGCTCACTGAGGGAACAGTCACAGCTACAACCAACTAATCAATAATGAGAATAGTAGTCAACGATTCTCATTATCAATTAGTTGGGTTGGATCCCCTAGTTCTCTCCTCGATGCTGAGACCCAGTGTTTCATCGGCTGTGTCTCCTCCGATTACTGCAGCTCCCTGCAGGAATTGGAAAGGACGCAGACACCATGCAGTGAGACTTCCCCAAACCTATCCCTCGCCTTCAAGCCTCTCCTCTGCTAATTGACAGCATGCAGTGGGCGGGTGCAGTAGCCAGCCTGCAATTGGTTATTGCAATTTGAAATGGCCAATAGCATACTGGCTATTGCACCCGCCCAGTGCAGCAGGTAGCTGAACGTAAATAGCAGGCAGAGTCCTGCTACTGGCAAGCTGTCGTTCTCCAATTGAAGCTATTCACGTTCTTGAATAGCTTCTTTTGAGGTGGAAAGGTGATACTTGGGCTCTAACAGACCCCTAATGTCGCCTTAAAGAGAACCTGTAAACCTGTCGCCTCCAGTCCACTTTCACAAATGTATTTTTGTCCACTTTTGGTGTGTTATTTTAAATAAAAGTTGGCCTATTATAGTGGCTTGGAATTTTTTGTGCACTTAAATTTAAAAAACAAAATGGCATGCAGGTACAACTACATCACACTGCCCTGTGACATTTCAGTAAAGTTTGAAGAAAAAAAAAGTGTAATGCATTAGCACTGTGCCAGTAGCTATGCGGTGTAGCGTGGCTGCTGTTCTGAATGTGCTCTAAGGTGAATGCTGCTGCACACAGGTCCACCTAACTTGCTGTCTGAGCCTCTTAAGACAGCCTACCTCACTGGTGCTCAAGATGCACCAGTGAGGTAGGCTGTTACTAGAGGATCCGGTAGCGAGTTATGTAGACCTGCACCCCTTAGCATGACAGCTGTGGGGGAAGAGCCTGACCTCCACTGCCTGCTTTCAAGCAGAGCTCAGTCCCCCTGCTGACCCGATGAGGCCCGGTATGGGAGTGCTGGCTTTACTCCTCCTATTGGCAGTCCTGCTCATGATTCATGTCTACGCTTCCTTCTCAGCATGTTTCAGATGTACGAGTCTGACTGAGGTGGTAATACACCCAGCTTACCATAATGCAGTGTAAATTTTTTGGCATTTTCCAAGTTTTCGTCATATTTTTGATGGTCTTGTAAGGTGTCACCTTCAATTCATATTTTTGCAGTGCGTGAACACATGTGCATTAATGTACATTACATTAAGGCAGCCCATGCATTTTGAATGGGCTATCAATGCACCCCAGCGTGCCGTATTGGGACCTAATTATTTTTTTGGGATAAGCCAATGCATGGTAGTACGTGGTGTTCTTAAAATTCACGGTAAGTACATTGTGAGGCACAATAATGTGATCCCAGCCTCGGTGTTGTGGTGGCTCTCGGTGCTCAGGGATTTACCAGACGGAAGATGAGGGAAAACCTTTTAGAGCCTCAGATAGCAGTAAAAGCCTGACAGGGGTTCCAACCCTTCCCCACTCAGCTTGACTTGCATTGGCCTGTAATGACACCATATCTCCTCCCCGTTTTAATTATTTTTTTTATGCAGCCTAAAATAATTTTAAGGAAGTCGTTCTGACCGCAATATGCAGATAGCCACGGCTGAAATATTTGTGAAACTACTAGCTGGCTAGGATTGCAGTGTGTGTCTCTTACCCTGCTATAGGCATGCAGGTTACAACATTTTCCCCACTCGTTCTATGACATGGAATCGTAACAGTGAAGCCATTGGCTTAGTATTACAACCAGGCAGCAAGCATTTCCAGCCGGAGAGCTATACTGTGGCAGCCTATATAGTTTTCATTTGAACATGTGTACTACTTCTAGTGCTCCACTGTGGAGGTGATTATATACACATATTGGGCAATAGTTGCATGCAATGAGTTGTGTGTGTGTGTGTGTGTGTGTGTGTGTATATATTGCAATTTAAAGTAAACACAAATGTATCCATTTCTGTGCATGTTCAGCTTTAAGGGATGCTGCAATGACTTTGGCCAGATGTGCCTGCAGACCCAGCTGTGTCATTGTCCCACGGGAGATACTTCTATAAGCATTTTTTGCAGATGGCAGCTATGGCAGGCTTTTAGTGTCATGTCCTTAAACTGTCATTTCGGTTCCATCTTTGATAGCGAGTATTGGCAAGCACTTTACGTTTCCACTAGGTGTGATTTTTAAATAGCTTTCATTATTCGAATTTTGTTGCATTGTTGTTCAATTTGAGGTTTTGTTTTTACTCTGCGTCGCCTCGTGTATTTCTGAGAATAATTTGTGTTTATAGCTCTAAGGTGGCAGTATAAATTGAGGGGAAAAAATACTTTTTTTTTTTTTACATTTCCCAGCAGTCCACTGTGAATTGTAATATTGTAAGGATGCGTGGACAAAATATGTTTAATACACACTTGCATAATCTTGTTTGTTGTACTACAGTGCACTTGTAATACGGTTTTGAGTGCAAATTATGTTCCTGTTGTTGTGAAGTAATTTCTGGCCACCTTCTTTTTAACGTTCATTACCATTCACTTCTAGATAATGTGTGGTTTTAACAACTTTTCTCTGAACACCACTGGAACATGGAGATTAGGGCTGCAACTAATTAATTATTTTCATAATCGATTAGTTGGCTGATTTTTTATTTTTTTTTATCTTTATTTTTTTAATTGGATAAAAAAAGTAAATACTATGTTTTTTAATTTAAAATGAAATGTGCAAATGCAGTGTTACAAACAAAGTTTACTTCAGAATAAAACTGCATGCACTTTTTTTGCAATCGCACTGGAAAGCCCGGCATTGCAGTACCGTGCGGGCAATTACACTGGGTGGCAGGCCCATTTGGGGTGCCATTGAAATGAATGGACCTCCCATAGCAGAATTTGTCAGGCCGAAACCAAAAATGACTTTTTTCCCCACTTCTTCCCTTTTTTTGTTTTTTTTTTATTACAATGATTACAATTATAATTTTTTTTTCATGATTATATTGTAAGCGCATGGCGCTTGAAAAGCTTCAGCCAGGGAATGACAGCTGCCAGTGGTAAGATTCTGCAGATGGCAGCTGAATGTAAATACAGCAAGCAGTGGGCGGGGGCAATATTGGCGATTTCAAATTGCAAGGCTTGCTATTGCACCCGCCCACTGCTTGCTGTGCCCTCCTCCCAGCGTGGAGGGGAGTGCTTGGGGATCCAACCAACTAATCCATAATAAGAATAGTTGACCATTATTCTCATTATCGATTAATCAATTAGTTGGTTTCAGCCCTAATTGAGAGACATTTTCTCTTCTGGTTATTGAAGGACACAGTCTAATCTTCACTAAACGGAAGGGTTATACCACCACCTGCTGGAGTAGGAGGCTAGGCAGAAAAACATGAACTCCAGTTTTTTGCCTAGTGTTGAGGAGTATGGACCCAGCTCCCTGCTGGTGATCTAAGTTCTTGATTTTCCCACCCCTTGGTTCTCACTGCTTTTGGACATCCCTTCCTTCAAATAAAATTTTGTCTGTGTCCTTCAATGACCGGAAGAGAATAGGATTTTTATTTTTTGAAAAAAAATTTTGTACTCAAGATCCTTCTTTTTTTTTCTGCATTTATTGAAGGACACAGCCCCCTCGAGAAGTATAACCCTTCCGTTAAATGTAGGTTCGGCTTTGTCCTTCAATGAACGCAGAGAAAAGGATTTTACGGTGAGTACAAAATAATCCTATAAAAATTTTTTTAAAGACTAGTCATGTGTTTTTACTTGCATTTTAAAACCTAAGCAGACAGTAAGTCTACTACTGTTCAGTGTTTTTAACCACTTTATTTTTTTTTCACCCTTTTTTTAAATTGCAGATTTATGCTGTGTAATTTTTTTATTTTACCGTATGACGCTAGTAATGTCTTTTTGTTTTTCTTAGGGATGTCACTATCTGCCGGGTCTTCACCTCTTCATTCCCCAAAAATCACACCACACACATCTCCTTCCCCACGGCGGCGAAGTCACACCCCCAACCCAGCTACTTACATGGTGCCGACTAGTGCCTCAACACCAGTTACTAACTCCGTTTCCCAGCCCCCATCTGCAGGACAGGTTATCCAAAAGGAGACTGTTGGAGGAACCACCTATTTCTACACAGACACCACTCCAGCACCACTCACAGGAATGGTATGTGCATAAAGGAGTGTTGCATCATATACAGTTTTATTTTTTTATTTTCTTTATATGGTAGGGAAAAATGTTTTTTTTTTTGTCATTGTCCATAAGGGTGTTAAACTTGCTTCAAGTGTTGCAACGAATTGTTCAGAATCTTCCTGTTTAGATTTGCTAACAACTATGTAGTGTGAAGGCCTAGGTAAGTGCAAAGAAGTCGGCCCTCACACGAAGTGACTATCGTGTGACAAACTTTAGTAATTTGGCTTGAAAGCTTTTTATATATCTATGTGCATCTTCCTGCATGTTTTCTTTTGTGCAGTAACTCTTGGGACAAAGTGTAACAAAAAAAAAAGATTAAAGTGCAACTTTACCCAAAGTTCTTTACATTTCCGTGTGTAAAGCTCAGCTTGATCTCCTAGGCCTAGATTACTCTAGGTAGGGGTAGCCAAACTTTGGCCCTCCCAGCTGTGGTGCAAAAAGTCCCATAGGGCATTGCAAGACTCTTGAGAGCCACAGACATGACTACCAGAGGTAGATTTCCAACACGATGGGTTGAAGTTTGGCTATCCCCTGCTCTAGGGCTTGTGTAGATGGGCATTATTTTTCTACAATTGAAATACACAGCAAACATCAGCCAGCAGTTAAGTGGTGTAGGATCTATGACCATTTAAGGCTGCGCTTGACCTGCTTTGTTTTACATTGACATGTGTTCGCCCTGCAGGCAAAGTAGGTCAAATATAGCCTTCTGCTATATTTTGTTTTTGACGTATGCGTTTGAGCAGCCCTGCATTCAAATTTAAAAGGCAACGTTTGTCGATGCCCATGTACTAAATCCCCTGCGGCTTGTGCCAGGCAGATCTCATGCCAAGGCACAGCTGCAGCAATTTCTAACCTGATTAAGAGGACATCACTAATTCTGAACCATGAGTATGAAGAGAACTGGTGTTGGGAGGTCTTGAGGATCAGACTGCTACTTTTAATGGATTCTCAATAAATTCTATACCGAATATGCATATTCTGGGGAGATGCAGTTTGGCAGTAGAGATGCAGTAAAGACCTTTTCCGTGATCAGCCCCTCTATTATTCCACAGCACCCACCCAAATAAAATTAATAAAAAAGTAAGGTACGGTTTCTGCGTGTGTCCTTGCAACATTCAGCTTGATCTCGTATTTCGCTATTTCAAAAGAAAAAAAGTGTTGCCTCCAAGTATTCATCCCACATGTCTTTGGTATAAAAAATAAAATTCAGGCTTCCCTTCCTGGGGCTTTTGAATAGCTAGTAGCACCGCTACTAGAACATGACCCCTGCTAGGGTGCAGTGGTTCTTTCCATTGACTGCTGCGACAGTATAGGACTCAGTGGCCAACTAGAGGAAGCACAGAGCCTATTGGGGGAAACTCCATTATCTGACACAAGCGAAAGTGACTGATGGCAGCAGTGCAAGAGAAATTAAAGCAACCCTTTACTTTCCAGAAGGCAGATGATCCATTAAAGGATGGATAAATCTGTAGACTTTCAATTAAAGTGCTCTTTAAATGCAAATTAAAAGCAGATAATCAAAGTTGATCACGGCAGAGATGACTGGTTATACCCACAAGTGGGTGGTGATATGGAGTGTAATTGTGAATGTGGTTAGATTGGTGAAGGAGCAGCTGCACGCACAATGGATTGTTTTGCAATAGGAATAAATACAACCCTTCCACCCCTTGATCCAAAACTGCTAAATCTGTTTAGCCTCAGCACAGCAAGGAGAGGTACAATGTAAGTATTTGCTGATTTAGATTATACAAAGTAACCTAATCCTGTGCTGCAGATAGCTAGGCCTTGTTCACAGTAGGTGTGTTGCACAGGTGTATTTTGGACTCAGGTTTTCAATAACTGGGAGAAGACCTTTTAGTATGGGGTCAAATTCACACACAATATGCTCCAAAACTGCATTTTAGAACTGCTGTGCACTTCCAGATATTTTCCAGTATAAATGAGCAATTTCTGAGGTTAGTGTCAATCATTACTACTTTTCCTCTTTTTTTTTCTAAAAGGTTTTTCCAAATTATCACGTTTACCCTCCTACTGCTCCTCATGTGGCTTACATGCAGCCAAAAGCAAATGCTCCTTCCTTCTTCATGGCCGAAGAGCTCAGGCAGGTATGTTACAAGACCGTCTCCTCTTAATTGCTTGAGTGTTTTCTACATGTATGGTGGTAATTTTACTTTCCGATTCCTTCACCCAATTTCATTGAATCGGGCTATAATTCTGTGTGCTGCGTATTTGCATCGTATACCTAAGACATTAAATCTTGCCACTTGTTGATTTAAGACTATTGTTTAACCACTTGCCGTCCACCCATTGTGTATACACGGATGGACGGCGGACTCTTCCGAGTGTGTAAACGTACATATACGTGATGGTTTTTTTTTCTGCCTACACGCCCCCGAGAAGAATTCTGCTAGGAATGTGAACAGCCGGTACTGGCTGTTGCATACAAGTGTTCTGCCAGCTGTAAATCGCTTGTATGACACTAAAAAGTGTGCACCACTGTCCCCCTGATTTGACTGGTCATAAATCACTAGTCTAGGGCCATAGATTGCTGATTTGCGTAATTTTAAAGCTTGACATGCTTGGGGTTTATTTACCTGACGTGACCCCGTCTTTTTTGTTTAAATATTGTGTGACATAGTATATGTGAAAACAATTAAAACATTTTGGTCTAGCAGCATATTATTTTATCCTTTTAGGAGTTAATTAACCGTCACTTAATAACAATGGCTCAGATTGATCAAGCCGATATGCCAGGTAAGATTTTCTCTTCTCACTTTTAATAATTAGTCATGAGGATTCAGTTTTGTTTTGTGAATTGTGAGTGTTGGAAAGGAATTTAATTTGTAACTTATCACATTCTTACATTTTCAATAAACACATTGCAATGCAAGTGTGTGTCGGGGCAAAATAAAAAAATCTGTGTTTTTTTGTTTTTCTTTGTTACCCCCAGCATTTGATATGGTAATATTTATGGAGAAATATAAACATAATTGCTAACTCTTGCAGTAATGCGCAGTATGTTTTCTCGATTTTAATCGACTAAATCGATTAACTGTTGCAGCTCTAATGTTTATTTTTTTGTGTTATTAGGTGTACCTACGGAGGTTGACAGTTACCACAGCCTTTTCCCTCTCGAACCGCTGCCCCCTCCTAACCGAATACATAAGTCAAGCAATTTTGGATACATTACATCATGCTACAAAGCTGTAAACAGCAAGGATGACCTGTCCTACTGTCTGAGAAGAGTCCATGGTTAAAAAGTAAATATAGTTACCAAATTTGACAACTTAACTGTTGAGATATCAGCCAGACAGTCGCCACTATGAATGGGGGTGGAGAACTCACAGGGAGCTCAGCTGAAATGTATACCAATTGCTTAGAGAGCACAGAGGTGGCCATTTCCATGAGGATATGAAGAGGAAAGCTACGAAAAAAAAACATGTTTCTGTTTCATATACAACAATTGCATGTGCCTGCTTCTTGTTTACTCTGTGTATATTGCTGGCATGTTTTTTTTAAAATACCACTGCAATCGAGGAAATTGGCTGTACATTTGTTTGCTGTGACTTGCTCACTACCTCTGGAAGTCTGTCCAAAGAATTAAATACTATTTCAGTAGAAAAATACTTTCTAACGTTACCCTTTAAGTTGTGAGGTCCTGCCCCTGAATTCTTGAGCTCCACGTCATATTGAAAATGCCATCCTCCTGAACCTGGCTGACACCCTTGATGTATGTAAAACTTTTTCACTTTTTTTTTTCCTTTTATTTAGCAGGTAAGGAAGACAAAACATTCCATATATAAAAATAAAATAAAGTCTTAGGCTAGGATTATATCACATTCATAGGTGGAGTCACAAATCACTAGGGTGATAAAGATCTGCATTTTCTCCAGATGGAGCACAAACACTGGTGAAAACACTTGTATACTACAGTGGGAAATAGTCTGGAACATCTTTTGGGTTTTTGTTACTGTCACGGCTTCTTTTGGGGAGTTTTTCCCATATCCATTCCCTGCTCCATGCCTTTCCTGCAGTATCCAGCGCTAAAAATGAAATCTTTTTTTTTTTTTCTTCCCACTCTTAGGCTTTCGTCTGGTAAACACAAAATGCATGTCTTTGGTGGATACATGGAAAAAAATCCAACATTCAAATATTGTTACCTTACGAGAAATGTTTACAACCAAAGCATTTGGAGAGCATTGTAAGTTCACCACTGGGTTCCTTTCTGATGAAAAGAATTGTCCTGGGAGCTTTTTTTTTTTCTTCTTCTTCGGTACACAACTTAAAAGCACAAAGCCGCAAGTTGGTTGTTTTACTACGGACCTCATTGTGTGAGGCCAACTTGATGTCGACATGACTAGTCCTAGCTACACTTGCTTAGCAAATCTATGAAACACATTTGCTTGATTTGAATATACAAGCTCGTTCTGAGCTCCATCTCTATAACTTTCAGTATAGATCCCTCACATTTTTATAGGTCATACTTTTATGACTGATCAGTGATGGAAATGTGTGTTGCTGTCTGTCCCCTAAAATGAGCACTTCCAACACATAATAGTGGCCTAATACATTGTGTCTACAGTTCTTTTATTATGCAATCCAGAATTCATTGTGAGAGTACGGGCTTGTGTCAATGGACAACTGCAGCTTGCTTTTGAAATCCGTTTGAGACACTTCTGAGTTAATTCAGTTAATTCAGTTAATTCAGATTTCATGGACAGTTGCTTGTGACCTGCTTCTAGCTGCTTTTGCATTCCCTCAGGCTGGGTTCACACCTAGGCGTTCACACCGCGATTCGTGGTAAAAAAACGCACGACAAACGCGTGTTTCTGTGGGCTACTTGGCTGTATCCCAAAGGAAACGCGAGACCAAAACGCCCCAAAGAAGTACATGTACTTCTTTGGGCGTAGGCCGTTTTGTAGTGCGTTCAGACAGGCTGAAATACGCCCAGGTGTGAACCATACCCATAGGAAACAATGGGATTTCTGTGTTTGAGCATTTTGCAGAGCGTTCAAACGCGCTACACAACGCCCAGGTGTGAACCAGGCCTCAGACTGGTAAGGGGAGAGAAGCAGTTCTGATGCAAAGAAAAGCCTGTCAACACATGGCCTCGTAGTGTTTCATTAAAGAACTCCGGGCATGTACAAAATTATTCTTTGCCTTGGGGTTATGTCTGCACTGCAAGGGTTAAGTGCTCGTTTTGGTCTAGGGTCTAAAATAAAATTTAAAAAAAAGAAAGATATCCTCGGTCCCGCCTGGCTCCCTAACTGGTTACCTGCAGCCTCTTCTCCCTCAGGCTCCAGCGGTCTGACGATTTCATCATGTCTATTCAATTGCATTGGACATAAGGACGCCGAGGGACATTCCACACCAGGAGCAGAGGAGGGAGAGGTGAGCGGTCACTGCTGTGTGTGTGTATGTGTGTATTAGTGTGTTGTTGTTTTTTTTTTTTTTTTTTTTTTTTTTTTATCTTTTTCTATTTTTTTTTTTTTATTACCCTAAACCAAAACGCGCAATTAACATTTGCAGTGCAGGGGTAGCCCCAGTGCAAGGGTTAATGTTGTACAGTCCCAGAATTCTTTAACCTTCTCAGGTTTAAAAAAAAAACATGCATATGCTGTTTAGTTAAAAAAAAAAAAAAAAATTCATTCATACAAGTGGTGGTGTAAATCTTTCATTTTTTTTTCCTTTTTCAAAGCCTTGGTTTTTGCATACGACTTCCATGCTGGAGCAGAGACCATGATGAGCAGGCATTTTAACGATCCCAGCGCAGATGCCTATTTTACCAAGAGAAAGTGGGGTAATAAAGTCCATATTTATAGTTTACTGATCTACCCAAATCACGGTTACATGTCACCATCATGTTTTGTTTTAACCATTATGCTGATTTTATTAGATTTTGTTGCAGCTTATCTAGTTGGACTTTTTAGGAAGTAATCTAGGGAATAAAACTGCGTGTAATGAAACTTGCAGAAAGCTTTTCCTTAATATCTTCCTTCTGTGGCAATGTGTGTCTATACTTAGAGCAGATTTACCCCTGAACACAATCAGTACAGATGCAAATAACACTACTGACCGAGTTCTTGTGTTGTCATACAGCAGAAATAAACTGCTCAGCCTGTTCATGTACATTGTACCCAATAGGTGAAGTTTAAATCTCTTGATTTGGTAAACAGCAACTGAATTTTGACACTTCTTCTTTTTTTTTTTTTTTTAAGATTTATTCTTGACTCAGTGCGACCCAAAAAAAGGTTTCTAGATGTTCATGGTTTGAATTAGGGATGCACCAATTCTAGTATCGGTGCCGATACCGATTATTTGGGCGAGTACTCATACTCGCCCAATGCTCTGATTCTTGCCTCCGATACCGGAACTTCTGGTCAGAGGGATATCTTCCTGTGACCGGCAGTGCCGAGGGAGCATGGAGCTGGCTTCCTTTCCAATCAGGAAGCCGGGTGGTGGGTTATGACCCGCTTCCTGATTGGTTAGGAAGCCAGGCTGCCTAGCAACAAGTGAAGCCAGCCGGCCCTAGCCAATCGGGAAGCTGGACGGCACCTCTTGACCCACAGTTCAGCTTCCTGATTGGTCAGGTAGCCTCTGCAAGTGAAGCCAGTGTTCTTTCGATAGAACACCGGCTTCCCAGGCAATCGGGAAGCCAGATGACGGGTCATGATCCACCGCCCGACTTTCTGATAATCGGGGCACCGGTATCGGTACTTGGTTTTGGCGAGTACTGAAAAAATTTCTGTGCTCGATCCTGAAAAACGGTTTTGGTGGATCCCTAGTTTGAATTATAAACTGGCATCCTGCAGTAATCAAAAACTGTGCCTACATGACTTCTGCTTCAATCATTCTCCTTTCCGTTCACCTGCCGCAGCCAATAGCAGTGCAATTTGCACTCAATGCTGTTTTCTTTTATTTTGCATTATGTAAAATGTAGCACTATACTGGGGGGGCGCTATGCAGGGGCATGACGTAGGGCATTTTTGCTTTGTGATCTACCTGGCATAGTTGCTTACTCATTTTTTTCCAAATTGAAGTTCTGGTTGTTCCCAGTCACCTTTACATTTTCCTGCTGTTGCATTTTCTATGATACAAAACAAATTCTTAATCCAACAGGCAGAGTGGGAACTCCTCATAATGGCCACAGAAGGTGTGCAGACCCAGGATTCAGGTGAAGATATCCCACCCTTGGGGTCCCTGAGAGATATAAGAAACTGTGTGAAGGTTTAAATCTTCAGCATCTACCTAAACTGAAATATTGGTTTGGGTGAACAAACCGTTTTGGAGATATTTGCACTTATGCCGACTGTGGAGTGCCGGTTTGTGAATGGGACCCCAAGATTTCAGAGACCCAAATGATTAGTTAGGGAAGAGTGAGATTCGCATGACCCATCTTGTAAGCAGCAGTGCAGAAATTGTTAGCATAGTGCTGTCTTTGGCAGTTTCTCAATACCACAGCGACATGTCATGGGTGGAGCCATGTTTTTACACATTTCAGTTTGTAAACTGCATGTGCAGTGCAGATAAAGTCACTATCTTTATTTGCATGATATTTATGTAGCTTTAAAAATGTTTACAATATTAGTAACATTCGCTATTCTACAGGTCAACATGACGGACCGTTGCCTCGTCAACATGCTGGATTGTTACCGGAGTCCCTCATTTGGGCATATATTGTCCAGTTGAGCTCAGCATTACGAACCATTCACACAGCAGGACTAGCATGTCGTGTTATGGATCCAACTAAAATTCTCATTACTGGCAAAACCAGGTACATATGTTCTGACCCCAATATGTAAACTGTGTTTTATTGTTTTCAAAAGTTCACCAGCCACTCCGCATGTTCTTGCATCTCTCCTGAGCCTTTCTTTCTCTTTCTGGCATTATGCAGAGACATGGCATATACTCCAATGGCAGCTGGACTAACACCAGAGGCTTTTACCAATGTTTGTTATGAGTCGGTATTTCTGCAAATGACAGGCAAGCCTTTTAACTCTACTGGTAAAGCCAGGGTCACACACGAGTCTGTTATCTGGATATCACGACATGAGAATTCCTCACTGATCTATTAAAGATGTAATCATCTACCTGCCTAAAGTGAACATAGGGGCTGCCATTACTGACCTAATAATGAAATTGCTAGTTGCTTGGCTGCTATGCGGACACACTGGCTTCTATATTTTGAGTTGCTCACTTTGGACAAGTTTGTAGAAAAGTCAGAATTATATCGGACGCCTTATTTGCACTCTTGTTCTGGGTCTGGACTCGACGCATAGAAGCAGAGGGTCAATAAAATAGCCAGGCAACTATAATTTGTGGAACATGAAGTCTGCAAATGGCGGCTTTCAAGCTCCTTTTAGAAAATGTGTTCTATTAAGTAAACCTGTCGAGAGAAATATCAAAGCTGCCATTGCTGACCCCTTTTGAAAATTCTAGATTCTGCTGATTTTTACATGGACTTTCTTACATGGTCATTGACTCTCTGAACAAGTGTGCAGATCAGTAGAGTTTAAGAAAGGTCATATAGGACAAACTGCAAACTTGTTCTGATCAGAGATTGGAGGCATTTGTAGAAGATCTTGAGCTGACAGGATTGTTGGCATGCAGTGTTTTTGTGTAACGAAGATTGTTATTGTGCATATGAACTTGTCTTGTAGGCCTCTATAAACTTTTTACTGCAGCAATGCCTTTTTATACCCTGCTTGTAAAAGTTTTTGTTTCTTTTTAGGTTACATGTCAACTGTGTTGGAATCTTTGATGTTTTGAACTATGACGGTAGTCAGAGTAATCCTGTTGCTCTGATGCCTCAGTACCAAGTAAGTCCTGTATACTATGCCTTGGGTCTAGTTTGTGTTTTTAGTTGCTTCCTTGTACCAATTTTGTATCTTCTATTTATCTCATGTTTACACTGTACAGAAAAGAAAAAGCTGCAGTTATAATCGGAAGTGCTAGCATTTGCAAAGTAGCTAGATCTCATATCAGGCTTACAACGAGTGCTTGCACTTGCTAGTATTACTACAAAAAAGTAGTCCAAACATTGACTGACATGGAAACATTTTTCTTGATATGATATGGCATGCTTTATATCCAAGTCACTGTGTTTTGTAGGAGGCAGAGTTGAGAGACCTTCAGAAATGAGAATAAAAGGTTTGTAAAGGTGCCCATACACCTTACGATTATCGGACGAAACGTTTCGTCCGATCAAATAGTCGTACGATTTTCGTACGACAGCCCCATCCTGCCCCGATGATCGCAAGATTAATTTAGCCACAATTAACGAAATGCGGTAATTTGTCGTATTTTCGTTCACGCAGTGTAGATCGTACGACTTTTGACGGACGGAAACGCCAGCAACCTTACGACAATCGTACGATCGAGCAAAGTTTTCAAACATGCTTGACAAAAGTCGTACGATTGTACAGTAATGTCTGTCGGACACTGCAATGCACACATACGATTATCGGACGAAAAGTCGATCGCATACGAAAATCGTCCGATAATCGTAAGGTGTATGGGCACCTTAAGACTTCAGAGTAAAGCAATAATGTACTATAATAGATAATATGCTGATATAATTTTTTTTTTCTCTAGCACCTGGAGGGGAATCTATCAGAACTGGACCAGACTAAATCTGGAGCAGCTGTGCATGGCAAGCAATTGGTTTTCACTTTTTCATTTTTAAATCTAAACTGAAAAGAGAAGCTGATTGGTTGCCATGCACAGCTGCTCCAGTTTTTGTCTGCTGCCGTTTTGATAAATACCCCCCCAATGGTGTTTCTGATAACCATTATTTATTTCTTGAGCCATCGCATGATCTTCTGGTGTTGTGTAACTCCTTTTTATGTAAGGATGTCTTTTTAAGAGAAATACTTATACCACTTCTAGTGTAGGATCTTATTTATACATTTCTTATAGACCTAGATACTTTGTAAATATTGATGACTTTTACCAAGTTTTTGTATCCGTTTGTAAAAATGTCCCTGATGTGCTCAGTTTGATATTGGTGTTTGTAGAAATCTGTTATGAAATGCATGTCCTTTTTAGAGACTTAAAACATTTTGGTTTTCTTTCAGCAAGCTGACCTGATCTCCTTGGGAAAAGTGGTACTGGCATTATCCTGCAACTCCCTGGCAGGCATTCAGCGGGAGAATCTGCAGAAAGCCATGGAACTTGTGAACATCAATTATTCCTCTGACTTAAAAAATCTCATCTTGTAAGACTTGTGGTTGGGTTACAGTATAACTTTTTTTTTTTCTCTTTAGATTTGGAGGGTGTTCCAAATCTCATGTGCAGTTTTTGGTAACTGCTCATACTTTTTAATTCGAGCACACTAACATGTGTGACATGCATTGTGTTGAGGCATTTTATGTTTTATATCCAGAGAACTTGTCCCTGATGTCTGTTGGGAAACCGACTCTTCCAAAAGTGTCAATCTTCCGGGTGCAAAAGTAGAGGAGAGGACAATCCACTTCAGCCTACTTGTGCTTAGAACATTGAAGTGGTTCACTGACACGTGCCCTTGCCCTGAACAATTGTCATGTGATTGGGCTTTTCTAGGTTGCTGGAAAAGGGTACTTGATATTCAGTTTCCAAAATGTAACCGCCGATGTTCCTTTTTAATAATGCAGGCATGACTAATGTGCTTTTAGTACTGTAGTTTGCTTAGATCTAATATTTTGTAATCACTATTTTAGTGGTATATATTTTTTGTTCCTGTAAAACCTGAAAAAGGGGTAGTATATTTATTTAGTTTTTTTTTTCTTCTAAGCATCGACTATCTTTTACAGATGATGCTCACAAATTCCCATAAAATAGGACATATTTTATATCTACAGGTACTTATTGACAGACCAAAACCGTCTGCGCAGTGTAAATGACATCATGCCAATGATCGGTGCTAGATTTTACACTCAGCTAGACGCTGCCCAAATGCGTAATGATGTCATAGAGGAGGACTTGGCAAAGGTGAGTCTCATTCATAGCGTTGTGTGAAGAGGAAATTATGCCATTGGCCATGGTAATATATTTGCTTTTGTTGTTTTAAACTGATAAAATCAAAATGTTTCTTAGCTTTTATTCCATTCAAAGGTTATAAGGTGTTTGGTCTTTCTCATGACCATTTTAGTACCCCTTCGTGTGAGCAGAATATGAACTTGAGCATTGCAGCAAATCTTTCAGGTGGATCACACTAACAAATGTTTTACATCATATTTTAAATACACCTACAGCAAACTCCACTCAACATGGGAGATCCAGCAGGGATTTAAGCTTGCCCCATACAGAAAACAGAAATAATCTTTTAGCTGCATTCCAGTTGTTGCAATTCTGAGATCCAGTTTTGCATTTTCCATAAAGTGTGAATGATTCTCATTGACCATATTAAACGTGACTTCACGTCTATTTGCTGTCCGTGGTGTTTCTTCACTAGGTGTGGGAATAGATAAATTCATCTTTGTCAAACCTCCACAGCTAGTCGGCACAAGTTGTGAAATGTATTCTTAGGACACTAAACTGTGCTCAGACAACTGTATAGCAACAAGAAGCAAAGATATGAATTGTGCTGTTATTGGATTTATCCTGATAAAACCATGAATAATTTGCATATAATAACTTTGCCAAATTCTTAATTTATGTCTGGGGCAAAATCAGAGATGTATTCAGTAAATCTATGATACTTGTAGATTTCCCCATTTATTATTTATGTAAAGCAGCTACACTAAATGTAAAATATCTGTTGATCTGCCGGAAATTCGGTAAGCTCCTCAGGTGCACTTAAATCCCAAACAGTGTTGTCGGCTCCTTTAAAATAATGCAAGACTCCATCCAAGCAGCTAAATACACAACTGAATGTGCATCGACCAACAAAACTCAACACCTCCCCTTATACAAAGCAATGGAACTTTTTTTATTTACACTATATATTTACTAGCATATGCATGTAATCTCTCATCGTTTTACTTTGGTGTGTTATTAACCCTTACTTTTTTTCTTCAGGAGGTTCAAAATGGACGCTTATTCAGGCTCCTAGCAAAGTTGGGAACAATAAACGAGAGACCAGAGTAAGTTATGGATTGTGCACATTAAAGTCCTGCGTTTGCAGAAAAGGCCTTCAGAGTCTATTTTATTGAACTTGAACTCTGTGCACAAAAGATTTCATTTAAATGTATTTCTCTATAGCCACAAAGGATACAAATCCACTTGGTGTGCATCAAATGCTATTACAGACCCTGATACTGCCTTATAAAAGTAGTATTGACATGATCACTGTGCTGGACATCGCTTGTACAAAGAGCAGAGCTGCAGTTCCACCCACTTCAGGCCGCCTGCAGTAAACTACATGGGGTTGGATACAAGACCAGTCACCCTGCACAAGGAGAGACAACATCACTGCTTGTCTTGTATGACTCGCTCCTGCATAGAGGCGAGTTTCCACACTGTTAAATGTGAATGTGCACCTCGCAATCTCCCACAATCAGAATATACATATATTCTCCCCGTGTATAAGACAAAAATGGAAATTGCATACATCAATAATCCTATAAGTGATCACAAATTATATTACAAAAAAAATTAAATAAAAATATATAAAAAGTCCTTTCATCCAAGTTCTGTTGGGTCAAAGTTCACAAAACACTGATTATGTGCTAAAAAATTATTCCAGTCACATAGTGATTCCTCGTGTTCCACCTCTGCAATTAATCAATGGAACGCACTCACCAGATTCTCCGTTATAAAACACTTCATCTACTCCTTCACTGCTTGGTATTATTTCCCACCACAACTCCAATGGTCAGCAGATTTTTTTTCAATAACGCTTCATCCACTTTCTTCCATCCGAGCATCTCTCCACAATTATTGGCTCATATACCGATCAGAGAATTTCCATTTCCCAGTAAATATGTAAAACAAAAAAAATTGCACATAGCAGCATAACATTTTTAGATAAGTTTTTTAATTCTCAACTCGTATAAAAACCTTACATTAAAAATGGCATGAATCAGCGCTGTACAAAGAACAATCAAATACAATGCATGCAAATCCACCCCTCGAGCTTCCAACAATATTGAGACAACACCAAGTCTATCTTTCAAATCTTTTGCAGGTAAGCCGACATGCGCGCTAGTCACTGTAGCTTTCCACACTGGATAACTGCACATATCTGAAAGAAATACACGGAGCACACCAAGATTTAAGGATGAATGCAATGCCTATGCTTCTTGTATTTGGACAATAGTGGTTTATCCCAGAGTTCAGCTTTAAGCATAATTCTAATCCTATGTGACTGTACACACATTTGGCTGACTTGTAGACTATTAATGAAGCTGGCTTCTTTCTGCGCATCAGGCTGAAGGGACTTTATAGATATGCAGAACTCTCCACAAATCTGTTTATGTCCATGAGGAAGGAAACCGGCACTGGTTTATTTTATCAGAGAGGATAAGTCGCAATTGGAACAAGATTTCGAACCTGTGCAGTTATCTATATTTCCCATCACTGGCTGCTGTGCTGCCTGCAGACAGTTTAGGCAGCCACGTGAACTGGTGGTGTCATCTCATGTTTACAGGTACCTTGGATCCTGCATCGTGCTCACCTTTCCGGGTAGCAGTCAGCTTGCTAGGCCAGAAATGTATTAATTGAATGTTTAAATTTAAAAGTTAATCATCCATCTACCCAAAATGGGTATTACATTTTTGGGGAATGCTGACAGGTTGATTTTTATTTTCTATTTCTTTAAACCTGTAGTGGCATGATCTCTGCAGCTTTTATCATGGGGCTTTGCACTTATGCGTTATGGATTAGACAAAGCTGTGAGTCTTCTTGCTTGGTATGTTCATGGCCTTGACCAAAGCCAGAGCCAGGAATTCATTAGGAAGATCTCACCACCGACTGGACTTTGGTGAACTACCCTTTCCATCTCTTAAAGTAAAACTGTGGCTAGGTTATGGATATGGATCACTCACATTTGTAGATATGGGTACTGTGGAGAAATCCTCAAAATTGACACTAGGTGCAATGAAGTTGTTTAAGCAGGTTCTCAGCACTGTGCTCTATCTCCTTCTTGTAAAGCTGCTCTGTGATTACATTAACGATTACTTGGCTAGCAGGGTGAGTTAGTGAAAGTCTTTCTGCTTTAAGCGAGGAGGAATTGCTCCACAGTTTTTCAGCAACAGAGGTCAGGTGAGGGTCTGTTTTAAAGCTCACTCCACTGCTGATTTTGAGTTTGTAAATATTTGAATATCCATAGCCTACCCACAGTTATACCTTTTTAGATTTTATAATTTATCAAAATGTATAGATGGCATGTTAACTAGGGATGCACAGATAACGGTATTTTGGTATAGAGTACGAGCACCTTTTTTTATTTATTTTTTGGTACTTGCCGATACCGAGTACCGCAAGCCCCATTTAGGAAGCCATACGGCGTGTAAAGACTCGACACAAGGCTTCCCGATTAGAAGGGTAGCCATCCCCATGCTTCTCATTGTAATGACGTGCTGCCCGGCTTCCTGATACCAGAAGTATCGGGCTAGGCATCGGAGCATTTGGGAGAGTACGAGTACTCGCCCAAATACTTGGCATCGGCATGGATACTAGTATCGGTGCATCCCTAATGTTAACCATTCGTGGCCTCACAGCAGCACTTCCAGATCTCATATTTTTGCCTGTTTTTTTACAGATTTCAGAAAGATCAAGCCTGGTCAGAAACGGGGGACAGATACTTGCTGAAACTCTTTAGGGATCATCTTTTTCATCCGGTGACAGAAGCGGGAACTCCCTGGATTGACCTTAGTCATATTGTATCTTGTCTTAATAAGGTAAAGCATGCATTGTGGTTTCTGTGGCAAGACCTAGTGTAACACAATCTGGTGGTTATGCTTGTTATCAGAATGCTACTTATATTCGCCCCCCACATTTTTTATTTTCTAGTTGGACGCTGGCGTGCCAGAGAAAATTAGCCTCATTTCCAGGGATGAGAAGAGCGCACTTGTGGTAACATACAGTGATCTAAAACGCTGCTTTGAAAACACGTTTCAGGAACTGGCGGCAGCCGCGAACGGTCAGTAGTATTCGCCTAACGCATGCAGGACATTGAGGAACTAAACCAATAGCAAATTGCACTACAGCTGATATGTCCTCATCATCTCACTTCACTTTCGGGAATCAAACAGGAGATGAGCAAAAGCTGCTTGCACAGTCAGGTACACTGTTACTTGAAGAGAAGGTTGTTTGGGTTAACCATGTGCTACGGCTGCCAACGGAGGCTTTATCTGTGAAGACGTTTCTTTTAAATGCAGGAACCGCATCAGGTGCATGATGTTCCTTCTTTTATTTTTTGTTTTCCACTTGTATGCACTACTTTTAATTTGAAGACTCTGATCTTTCTGACTGAAGGGAAAAAAAGGCTTTTTTTTGTTTTACATTCTCAAAAAACAAAATTCAGGGGCACAGTGTGTTCTTCACCAGTATAACAAAATATGCTTAGTATTTTTTTTGTGTCCTTCATATCATAAACAGACCAGGTGGTGCAACAATTCCATGAACACTTTCTTGTCGACCCTTTGTAGAATTATGCTGTGCAGACCTCATTATCAAAATTAGGAAACTGATTTGGGCGCATAGGATCAACTCCATGTTCTCCAATTGTTGAAGATGCATCTGAGTTTAATACCAAGCACCAACGAAACCCCTTCAACGAGCTGCATTTTGTCTTATCTCTCAAACACAACCAGCGCCTTTTGCAAGATAATGTACATAGGTCTCCTGCTTGTCCTACACATTTATGCAATTGTTTTGTATGTTCTGTTGCTCTGATAGCCACAATGTTTCAGGAATACATCACGTAAATGTGTTATTGTTGTCAGAACCACAGCTTTACTAGTGTTACACTGGATGCAGAGACACTGTTAATGAATGATGCAATGTTCTTCTGACAGACCCTCTTGGCAAACACAGAGGGGCATTACAGCTTAGTATCTGGTTGAGAACGTTTTTTGGGGGGATTTTCCATGAGAACGTTCTTAAATGGTTCCCTCTTCCTCCACCTTGAAAGCTGTGGCACAGAGTGAATTTATAGTGTAAAAGTTAAAAAAAAAAAAAAAAACTGATGTTGAAGACTGCCAAATATATAGGATTTATTTCTTGGTAGAAGAGGCGTAACTGTGTAACCTCTTTAGCACTGAATCTATAAATACATATATTTTAATATCTTGTTGTGCTATGCCAGAAGATGACTGAATGCTCCCAAACAATCAGAAAAGACAAAGTTCCAGCCCAACAGCTGACTCGAGTTTTAACGGATCCATAACAGTGTCCATAATTTCTCCGCTGCACTTTGTTTTAAGCTTTAAGGTGTACCCACCAGGAACCTGTGTTGGAGAGGAGTTTCAGAACGCTGAAGAATGTGGAAGGATCTTCATTCGAATAGAAAGATTTGAAGATTGCAGATCTGGGTGCTGTCAGTCTTTCAGCATGGAACTAAATTCATGTCTTTTTTTTTTTTTTCTTACCAACAACCTAAATTGCCACCATGAGAAAAATTGTTACAAAATAATACAAAACTCTTCTTTAGAATGGACTGAGTAAAATAATCACCGTTAAGGGGAGTTTAAGAACTGTCTTATCTTTAGCTTCTGTATATGAGATAACGAAAGCAGCTGTCTTTTTTATAAGTTTTTGACAAATCATAATTGCAATTTTTGTACAAAACAGAAATACTTGTATTCTAGAAAAATTTGCTTAATTTATAAGCAGACTGCATTTTGTTTTTGGGAATGGCAGGGATAAGGGCAATGTACAAACAAGACTTTTTTTTTGTTTCCCCCCTGAATACAAGTGGATACTGGAATAATTGGAAACGATACACCATTACAAGCTCCACTGGCGTAGGCTACAGAAATTCTTAATGATTTGATTGCTTCTCTTGTGTTTTTACTTTTGGGACCAAAACTAGGTAACAGGGCTTTTTAATGGTAGAAAACCAGCATTCGCTTATAATGTTTTAGAAATAACTCCTTTACATTTTGTCAGTTTTTTTTTTTTTTTCCCTTCACTCTATCTTTTTAGGCATTATCAGGATTTAGTATAAAGTACAAAATGGAAAAAAAAATTATGACTAATGCACACCTATGTTGCAGTCAAATTTTCAAGACTTTACAGCAGAACGTCTTGGATTTCCCACAAGATTTTTTTTGTTTTTGGGGTTTTTATTTTTGGGCGGGTGTCGACAACTTCTTCCAAATTATAATAAATCTGGAGGCAAATAATGTAAAACAAATTGACACCCAGACATGTAACTTTATCATACCAGGGATGAACGCATCCTACTATTTCAACATAGATAAAGCACAGAGAAAACAAATCTTGTGAGTTTAATTTACCTTTTTGTATATTTGTAATTTTTTTTTTCTTTTTCCTTGTAAATATTACACGAGGGTACATATTTTTTTTGCCCTGGAGTGCATCCTGTATTGTCAAGGACTCTTAAATGCACCTATGTGTTCAAGTGTCATGACCCCCATATGTTACCTATGTTTTTGTTTTGTTTTTTCCTTCCTACAGTTTTCATGTGTACAGCAGTATTTTTAATAAAGAATACAAGAAATAATTTTGTGTGCTATTCTGTCTATGAAATTATATTCCATCATCAAACAGGCAGAAGAATATTAGCTTATAGCAACCAATTAGGATTCGTGTTTTACAGGGCTCGTATAGGAAAACCTTAATCGGGTTGTTCAGGGTTACCACAGTGTTTGTATGCAACCTCTGGGACTAGTACAAGAGGCTCACAATTGATGACCGGTATGCACTACAGAAACATGTATTTCATATTTTATAGAATTTGAACGTTTTGTCCATTTGAAAATTAACAAAAGGTGTTGTACTTCTACACTATGTTGCCTATGGAACCTGCCGTTTATGGTGTTTCCTAGCCCTGGTCAAATCCTAGATCTCTGTAATATGCCTTCCACACAGGTCTAAAGCATAAATCCCAACCAGATATTTGCAGGGTATTAAATCTAAGTGAATCTCTGTTAATGGAGGGGAGAACTGTATGTGCATTGGTGACAAAACCTCATTAGTCACCACACCAATCATCAAACCATTCCAGAGCTTCTAATCTAATGCTCACACTGCAGTAAGGTAGATGCACACTAATGGTCAGTTTAGCTGAAACCGATCAGCCTACCAGTATATTTTTATATTGTGTGAACAAACCAGAACTACCATTACAGTCTAATGTAAGCATAAGGAGAGCATTCCCCATACAGATGGGTCTTTGACCTTGAAGCAGTAAAGTACACCAAAGTGCCAATGGCTGCTGTCCGTGAACCGGCAGGTCACTTCTGGGGGCGGGGGGTGCTGTCGGTGAATCG